CAATGTACGCACTGTAAGGACTCTGAGTGTTAACATTCTTTACTGCTCATACATGCGCGGTCAATAGGCATAATAACTTCTATTAAATCTGCGTCATTTTGTGGCAGAGCTTCTCAAAGATCACCCCAGCTACCAGTAGATTGACGTAAGATTTCAACTGTCGTCTTCACCTATAATCGGTGATAATCACTGTCACTGATCATCTCACCACACTTTCACTGTGGCTGCATCACTATTAACCCTCCTTCTGTTTCAACCGTCAAAAACAGTTAAAAATGCCTTCCAATTGATCTCCCCCAGTACACAGACACATGTGGGAAATTTGACTGATTTTGACCGAAGCATCTTAGCATGGGAGGTTTTTATCACCATAATCAAAATCGTCATCACTGTCATCATCATCATCATCATCATCAGAGGGTAAAACTGGAAACAAAGTGCTCCCACATCTTGAGTTGTTACATGTATGTATATGTACCCATGTGCTTGTACATGTACCCATGTGCTAGTACATGTACATGTACCCATGTGCTTGTACATGTACATGTACCCATGTGCTAGTACATGTACTTGGACACACACAGAGTTGTGAATTCTTTCACTGACAACAGACATGTCCTTCAATCATCGAGAATACTGTACCAATGGCCAATGTTTAAAAAACAAAACTGACTTCACGTTTACATGTACTGGTACAGTTTGCGTAAAGTAATTTTCAAGACGGAACATGTTCCCCAAGCAAAGGATGGTTAGAAGATGCAAGGTGCCCCCCTCCATTTATCCTTAGAATCATCTGCTGTAGTGTCTGGCCTTATAATTGTCATCACACCAATCATGACCACCCACAACCCTTATCTTTTCCACCCTCGGTCGCACCTTTTCTTCGAGGATGCAATCCAGCGAGAGGGTCCCTGCTAAGACGTACACGCTCCATCGCACTCTCGGGAGAGCGCGGAGTCCCAGCAGGCGGTTCTGGGTGCATGTGCCAAAATTGACGCGGGAGCTACCAACTCAACGACCCCTTGGGCGAGTGGATAAGCTGACCATACAGCGAGATACATGTACAACCGCAGCAAACTACACCGGTACTCGTTCCTGCATCCATTGCCTCAACTTTCACCTGTCACTCTGATGGGGGAGGGGGGAAGGGTACCATCTGAGAGTGTCATTCCAACAGGCCATTACTCAGGAGGCAAAAACCATTATCTCAGGATGACATCATGAAGTCATCCTTTTTGTACTCCATCAGCTTCGTTTGATCACTGACCTCTTTCATGATCACTGTAATTTACGACTGTAATCATGACTATCCACACTGTTATCACCTTTACTTCAACCTCACTGTCACGTACATGTACGGTAAATCTTAAACTCATCACTGTCCTGATCATCAAAAATTTACGAATGCTGAATTAAAAAAAAAAGGACTATCAAATTTGGACATGCATGGAATAAAATCTGTTGCTCATTAACATTCAGTGACTGCTTCCCCAACGGGCAGAAATTAAGGTTGCACACGCGCATCAAGAACTGGCCATGCATTCAAAATGATACAGTTGCGAAATGGATCTGCCTAAGGGCCTAATACACAAGGCAGACTAGAGTTATACACCTGCCGTTACGGCCATTACAGACGACTCAGGGGTTGTACCGCCTTCCAATGGCAAACTCTGACCCCGGAGGTTACTTGTACATGTAGTTTCTCATGGCGCCTGTCATGCCAATGTGGCAAGAGTTGTAAAATTGTGTAAGGCCAAGGCAACAAAACAAGTCAAATCCAAAGACAGCCCTAAAATGCACGCAATATTACACACCCTACACATGCAATGTACGTCAGTAGGACTGCTTTAAATAACTGCAAAGACAGCTGGTGTGATTTAACCGCCAATCAGTAAATTTGCAGAATTTTGAAACAAACTTGCAATTCTCTCAGCAGAGGAAATTATGCATTGTGCCTCGTATAAAGGTACATGCATGTACCGGTACAGCATGTGAGGTGACCATCTGCTTAAGGCATGTAACTACCTGTGTACGATATATTTTCCAAACAAAAATGCCAGTGCGACACAAAAATCTGTATCGGACGGAATACTTCGCAAAGAAAGCTTCAGTCAATAGCTGCAGTCACGTCACAGAGGTGAATATGTTTGAGAAAACAGAACCCCACTGAATGCACACATGTGCGTAAACAAACACAACAAAATACAGCTGCCAGAACTGGCAACATGTATGCCGTACGCCATACTTCAGTTCACAACATGTGTTGTGATTTAATTGCTGGTACCTTGTCATACATGTACAAGTACATGTATGTGTAATCATGACCTCAGTAATGAGATGCAATCTGTACATAAGCCACTAGGTATGTGTGGCTTTCAACACTCCACAATGGAAACCAAGCATTCAGGTTTTTGTTTGAATTTGAAGGAAGGAAAGTGGCGATGGTTGGCCTATCTGGCCAGTGTTTCAATCTCCCAATATTGCTGAAAGGAAGTTTGAGTATATCAGTGTCCTGGAAGACACTCAATAGACGAATGTGGTCACATGTCCTTGTTTTAAAAAAAGAAAATTTTGGTAATGTTTCAGATCTTTTATTCTTCAAAGCTCTAGCGAATTTATAACCTCCTCTGTCCTGTTTTTTTTTAACAATTTGACATACAAGTAGATGTGTAAATAGCGTAGGATTTATATTTTGAAAAGGTCACAGTTTAGTATGAATCTTCATTTCAATATTACAACCACTTCAACTGTGTCAAACAATTCCCCTGTACAATGCTGTATGTACGCATGTATATTTTATTTCACCATTAAAGACTTTTTTTGAAGGTGGCTTTTCTGCAGAACAAATTTACTACAGGATCTGCTGCAGCCGAGTGGAACATAATCACAAAGTGTGACTATAATCCTGAGCATTGGGCCACAAAAACTGTAGTTAGTACGCCACAAAAGGCATACATACTACTGCAAAAACTGGCATTTAGCGAAAACATCAAATTATTGTTTAAAATTTGCATACTGGAATCTTGACACAGGATTTGGCCACACAAGCTGAATAACCTTGTTGCCTGAGAATAAAAAAATCTGCATCCAATTCATTTCAATATGTGTCGTTCTCTGAGGCACTGGGTTTGCTCAGTAAATCTGCTCAACAGCATGTACCCAGCAAGAAATGAGACCAAGGGGTACCCCCCCCAACATGTCCAATCCCTATACACATTCCAGACTATTGTTACTTAACACATCCCCCCCAAGATGTCTGAAAGGAATTCCCCAGATTCCAGCGAGACAATGACCAACACAAAGCAGGGGGGGTTCTCTCTGTCTCATACCTTGCTGCATATGTAACAGCAATTTAGCATTCTCAGAGTTCCCCGAACAGAGAAACTTGTGTATTTGCATTTCTCAATCCTGAATGCATTTGTGGTTCATCAAATAGCTCGCTTTCATTGGCCGTTAAAAAAAGGAAACCAAAATTGAAAGTGGGCAAATTTTAGACAGTTTTTGAAACCTCTCAAAAATTGAAGTATTTATACATGCAAACCATGTATGTAGTTTCTGAATTAAAAAATGCAGGAGACTGTCTCTTTCGAGGTTAGTGGTGGGCACGCATAAATGTAAGTTCCTGGCAACTTGGGTACTTGCTTGTCTTGTTTGACAATATCCATACTTTGCTATTCCCATGCCCGGAAGACGACTCAGTTACAATTTCCTAAGATTTGAATAAAATCCACAGTCCAACTCCTTTTCAAAATGGGCTGCACCATTCTAATGAACAAGTCAAAGATTTCTGAACACACAATTGTGTCCATGCCTCACCAGAAAGGGTGCAATAAAAGGTTTGATGTCTTATAAATTTGTTGCATGTTATCTTTTTTGTATTTCATGCATGAACCGATGTAACACATGAATTTCAGCCTTTGGAGAGTTGCTAAGAAAAATGAACAAACAAATCAAACAGTTCATTGTAACTGATGCAGTCAAATTTCGTAAAACCAACATGTTCAGCGAAAACAGCATACCTTCAATTTTTACTAAAAAAAAAAAAAAAGACAAGAAAATTGCTGTCCTATATTTTAACCTTTGCAGAAGCACTAATAAAATAAACAGATAACTAAAAATGAACAATTGAGATAATCAGAATTAGTTGAACCAATATGCTAAGAGAAAAAAAAAACAGTACTACCTTCATTTTATGTTTGGTTTGCATAAAAAATTGTAACAAAAAAAATTGGTAAGTGAAAAGAAAACAACTTAAACAAAAATAAATTAATTAAAGTAAAACAAAATAAAATACAAACCATGAAAATTATTGGATTAAGTCCTTTGCAAATAGTGTGTGCAGTTACCAACACACTGAGGCCGATATGTCAACCAAAAGTGTCCATATGTTTCAACCCACAAAGGCGTAGTCAAAACACGTACATCTGCTCCTTCGCGATTAAAAAAAAATCCACACAAAGGATCTGTAAATTCGGTGGCCACAAATAATCCACCGAGAAAACGAAAACCCCCTTGAAGCTGGCCCCATGACCTAGGAAAGCGAGCGTGTGAGAGGCTGTCTTCCGTTTCAATTCTGTGGCAAAATATAGAGGTCAAGAAGTGACAGCAAGGTGATTTTTGGCTTTTTTCCGAGGGTGAAAATGCCGCACCTTCGTCGACCGAACAAAGCATCGTTTGTGCCCGCCGAGCGAAAGACGCGTAACACGGCGGCGCGGTTGTCCAAGTCTACACTCACTGACAATTCACAGACCACAACAAACCCGTCCTAGCTTCTCTACAAAACCCCTCACAGTTTAATATCCCGATCATCATCACGGCATAGTCAAAACAAGATAAACATATTCACTCCAACCATGATGAGCATAAACATCTAACATAATCATCATCAATGATATTACTTGGCGATGTCAAATTAAAAATAAATAACACGTGCGCTTATAAATTATGATAATAATTTTTAATAAGACCAAAACGCACTAATTACAATTCGGTCTACTTACCGAAAAAAGTACCTGGCTGGAAGTTGGACTAAATGAGATGCAAGTTCGTCCGGGAGAAATAATGATAGGTGTTCTCCAATCTGTTGATTGTCTTATCCCCCAACGACATGGGACTTTTGCCTAGGAATCACAGAGGGAAAAAAAGGGAGAGTAAGATACTAAGAAATCGGTTGAGTGATCCAGGGGCCGGCCCAGCCGCGGACTCGCCATTGCGGGTCCCTGCTCGGGCCCTGTTTTTCATAAATATCCTGCACTCGAATATAATCCACGTGCCATGGTCAATAAATTATGCTAATTACTAACATTATTGTATCATTAATTCCGGCTCCATTCAGTCCCGAGAATCCCGCCAGCAAGCTGATAATAACGGCGACAACTCCGACGGCCGAACTCACGGAGAATTTGGCGAGGAAAATCACTGGAAAATGGGAGCGCGGTGTACGATTACAAGCAATGCCTGGATTGTCTTGTCCAATATGTTAATGACGGCAGGTTGGCCCCACGTCACGACCGTTATAGTAATACGCTAAATATTTTAATAGGACTAATTAGAAGAGCTGACAGCTACATCTTTTCAAAAGTTACCTTTCCAAACCGGTAAATTAAAGTTAAGTCATCCTTACATATCAGAACGTAATGTATTTCAAATGAGGGCTAACTTTGTTATTTTATGTAAAGAAACCAGCGGATGAATAAAATAAATTATTTATATGTAAATCCTGCAATAAATATTCATATCAAAGATGGCGGATTCCATGGAGCGAGAATTTGTCTCAGCCGTGGAGGACTGGCAGGTAAAAGTCAGCCGTTAACACGGTTGAGTCAATTTAGCAATGAATTAGGAGACTGAATGTTATAAACGCAACAGGATTTTTATCGGCTAAGTTATGAGTTCTATTCACGTAGAACTGATGAAGCTGCTTTTTTAACCTGAAGATTTAGGCCTAAGCCTACATCATACATGTACATGAAGTCTTGAAGAAACTTTAACTTGGCTTTCACTTTAAAGTCAATCAAATCAGCTCAGTCCAATTCCAAACTCACAACCACAGTTAGCTCTGTCTGGACTTATTTCGAAAACATGTCATGTATCGAATTTTGTTTAGCCACACACTTTGAAGTGGCAACATTACATATATGTTTGTGTAAATAGGGCCTACTGAACAAAAACCAAATTTGACTGAACATACTGAAAGTGAAACAGTAAAATTTTCATCCAGCATGCCTGGTCGCACCCCAGCCAGCCGGCGGGCCGGCCCAGGAGCTGGGTGTTCAGCTTCATGACGAGACAGTGTCAGTGTTGTGAATTTGAAGTGCTCACATGGGTCAAAGAAAATGAGAGTTAAGGAAAAGACTTCCGTTTACGGATGCCGCTAATTTCTCCCTGCAGTTACCTATTTGCCATTTGAAAGCAATAAAATGACATATTAAAAAGTCAAAGTTAGCAGGGAAAATATTGAGGTATTCACGAAGAAAACAGAATTTTCCAGACCAGTCTCATTGGGTTTGTGACACGATGTCAAGTGGCATCTGTTTGTAGAACTCTTTCCAAAGACAATACAGGCATGACGGACACTAATAACTCATGTCGTTAACCTTCCCATTATTTGAACTACCATATTCCCCTGCAAAATCCATTCAAGTTGTGTAGAATGCTTGAGATGGAGGGTTGGCTTAATCAGCTACGTGTATCTCAATTCCCCACCCCTCACCCCAGTTGTTGAATCTACCAGGGCATTTGGCAGGATATGGAAGGACAGAGATGCTACCCAGCGACAACTTTTCTTACATTTCTACTCCATGAGAAGTCAAAGCGTGTACTATGATTCCTTCGTTGATGAATTGGAGGATAAGGGGAAAGAATCACCAAGAAGGCCCAGGGAAACTGCACTCATGAAGCAGCTCTTCTCTTTCACAGGAGTCGGGGGAAGAAGAGGGAGAAGATGAAGAGGAAGGGAGCGAGAGCGAGTCGGAAGAGGACGACAGTGGGGAGATCGAAGAGCCCAAGCTGAAGTACGAGCGGATACGCAACACCTTGGAGGCAATACTCAGCAAGGATGCTGCGAGCTGCATGGCAGTCCATACCAAAGTATTGCGCCAGAGTTTTGGCTATATCCCCTTTTATGGTGTTCTGTCTACATGAAGTTTGTACAACTTGCAGTTAATAGGGTATAACCTTTAAATAGTAAAAAATGAAATCATTTCCATGGGGCAAGGTATGCCTGGAAAATTTCTCCCATGCATTTTTTTGGGGGGGGGATATTTTTTGTACACATTCAGTTGCAAACTGAATGTCCATCACTCCCTCGGCTCGACCTCAACACTGAGAGACTTAGATATGAATGAGCTGTGTTATAAGTCTTGCCAGAGTGTTCTTAAGGATTAGACAGAGCATGTGTGAAATGCATTGGGAGAGAGCCAAGCTTCTCACCCGTGCTCGCCCCACAGAAGATTTTGAAGGGCGCAAGTTCCATGGCTGGTGCTGCAGTGCTGAGACCGTTTTCACTCTAAGCAAAGTTGGACTGAGTTGTTCAGACTGAAAGAGTACATGTATACCGGTACAATATTTCAAGTCCCCACAATAACCCTTGTACAGAATGTGTGAGGTCCCCACTGTTACAGAACAAGTTTGTGGTAAAGCAAAACCCTGCAGGGTTTACAAGTTGACAGACTTAGAGAGACACAAATCACTTCTCGAAAACTCAAGTATATCTGCTCTTGGCTATTCAGTGTTTATTTTGCAGTACGTGTTTTGGTTCTTCACTGTCAATTTTTTCCTAAACTGTAAAACGTGAAGGGTTCGGCTAGGTTGAAGACTAAAGGGAGTAATCCCTGTCCCTTTGTCCTCTGTTTCAGTTCATGGCTGTGGGAACGCACTGGGGAATGGTCCATGTATTGGACCTGCAGGGCAACACCATAGCAGGCAAAGAATTTGCAAAGGCAAGTACTGTTCGTTCAACTTGAAACAGCTTCTTTTCAAGTAGTCTCATCAGAGGACTGGTTCGGTGGGCGAGTGAGTGGCACATTATTCAGGATGGGAACATATTCGGAAATGATACCGTATGGCATTTTTGTCCAGAGTGAGGATGGTAGAGCCCAACCATGAAGAGATTTGATGCCCCTTGAAATACTTATGTAGACTGTTCCACGGTTTTCGTACAGTGGTGGATTTTGGAACACGACAAGCACTACCAGTCATGGGTAGATAAAGTCATTTACCCACTGGACAGACAACTCATATTGGTGTTATGCTTGGATAAAGACAGGAAACTCACACTTCCTAGAATTTTGTTCTGAATTCTTTGACACTAACAGCACAGCACCACAGTCAATCAGATCAGTTTGGACATGAACGGCGACTATCTCTCCAGTTGTTCTGATGATGGACGGGTAAGAGATACAGAAAATTCATCCATTACCATGCTCCCTTCTTTGCAATCCTTTTTGTTATCCTGATCAATCAAATCTCTCCGGCGTTTATTCTAAGCGTTTTTACCTTTAGAGATTCCCTATAACTCAACCAGTTTCTCAACTGTTCCATTTTTTCTTCAGAATTGAATGTTGATATTTCTTACCACTTATCAGGTTGCGATTACAGGCCTATATGAAGATGAGTACAATCAGGTCCAGTCATTTGACTGTCCGGTCAAGGTGAGTGTGGCAAACCGCCCTCCCCTCTGACACTCTGGCCCCACCCACCCCCTTTCACACACCTCCCATGTAAACTACGAGCCCCTAGGCATGCTTAATCGGCAATATGTAGTATACAAATATTGACGGCTTTGAAGTGGTAAAACTAGCCTCTTAAGTCATCCATGGAGTTTTCTCTTTTCCGAAAGTGAAGCCAAGGGAAGAAAGAATGCTCCAGGGATTACCCGGGGTGGCTACTTTGACAAGACCTCGCATTGAAGCAGTCAGTATTTTTTTTTTTTTAACACCTCTCCCACAAATTATTCTTGATTTAAGGGACAGTTGATTAATTTGATTTCAGTACGTGTCAAAGGTATGTCTATTTTAATGAGAAAATTGTTGCCGCAGCAAAATCCTAAGTTTCTGAGTGTTTGCAATTTTGATTTTTGACAGAGATGTCCTGCAATAGTTTATGTAACGTTTTATATCATGCATGTCAATGCTACCATGCAAAATGGCCTGCGGAACATCTTTCTAAGTTCTTGCCTTTTTACCTGACCAAAAGTATATTGTTTTGCTTAAAAAACTTCAAAAGGCATGAATGTAGTTTAGAGAAGAGCCGTTTGACTTTTCCCTTGTTAAAAAAGTCAGCAGGATATGACTTTAGCAAGCAGCTTATTCAAAACAAGCATTGTGCACAGATATGCTAAACACACCTGGCCTTGGGAAAAAAGCAGTTGACTTTTCCCTTGTTAAAAAAGTCAGCAGGATATGACTTTAGCAAGCAGCTTATTCAAAACAAGCGTTGTGCACAGATATGCTAAACACACCTGGCCTTGGGAAAAAAGCAGTTGAGGAAAAGCACCTTGCTGAGCGACACAAGTACCGCTCTAATTCCAAACTTGTGTCACCAAAATAGCACCAAGGTCCCAGATTTGTTTTGGAAAGTCTTGCAGTCAACTCACATATGTAGTTTGTTTTGGAGAAACCCTGCTGCTGTTGAATGAATCACTTCCTGCCATTGCTTTCAGTCTCTCGCCCTGGATCCCAGGTTTTCCAAACCAAACAGCGGTAGGCAGTTTGTGACAGGCAGCGACAAGGTAACGATTTTTCTTCCCTTTATGTCAACAACTAACCAGGTCTTACCAAATCGTTATTTTTTGGTTCTCAAAATGAAGCCTGTTATTAACCCCTTCTCACCGTGAAGCAGTAAGAGGCGCTTTAAAAATTGAGATCCTCGGCCCGCTTTTCAGCTGTTATTCTTGGCCCACGCTCAAGCGAACACGGCGAAAGAAGGCAGCCCCTGGCTCTTGTATTACACGGTGATTGGCCTTTGTGTGTAGCCCAGAAATGAAAAGAATTTGTATCATAATCACCAGCTCAACAATAGTCCCCACTTTGAAAAGAGGCAACGGGGATGTAGCGTGAGTAGAGCCGCATGCCACCGAACATTGAGCCTTTTCACTGTGTAAATCAAAGCGTGCAGAGCAGTCGGCTTTCAGAAAAAAGTCCCGACGTCAAAGGGGGATAACAGAATGCTGCCCCACATTTTTCATGTTGATTCTGTGACAAAAAAAATGTTGGCATAAGGGAATGTAGGAGGTGAGAATCAAGAAATCTGTCGTCTGTCGATCAAGAATTAGAAGTAGTACCTCCTTGTTGAAGGCCTTTTGTTTATGACCCCCCCTCCCCCAAACTACCTGCCGTGTTCAGCCAGGTATTGAGTATCTACTGGCTTGTTACAACCCCACCAAGCATTGTGAAGTCCCTCTTGTCGCGCATTTTGGAATGTTTTGTTTATTACGTAGCTGACGCTACACGAGAAAGGCTTCTTCAACCGGAGCAAGTCCACTATTCTCCACCAAGCCGAGGGGCCGATCCGCATCATCAAGTGGAGGGGATGTTTCATCGCCTGGGCGAGTGACTTGGTAAAGTACCTCTCCCCGAATCCACCCAAATTCTTCTCTTGAATGTGGGAGGCCGTCTTCCCAACAAAAAATGGTTAAAACGCTGACCGAGCTTCGAAAGGCCTGACAAGTAGCTTGGAGGATTTTACTGCACAGCACGATTCCTTTTTCAATATTCAGGGAGTCAAGGTGTACGACCTTTCATCCAAACGGCGCATCACGTTCATCAAGAAGGACCACGACGAGAAGCTGCGGCCAGAGATCTACCCCTGTAAGCTGTGCTGGAAGGACAACATCACGCTGATCGTGGGCTGGGCTAACACCATCAAGGTAGAGAGCCTCGTAGAAGAATAATCTTGGGATTCCTAACCTCTTTTGTAACATTTTTTACAGTTTCTGATAAGTAACCCGCAAAAATGCCTCTGTTTGAAGTTCTCAAGGTTTTCTACTGAGTTTCCTCTCACTCTTGGTCCTTAGAACAAGATTTTTCTTCTCTTTCATTTTCTTTTGTTTGATTCTTGATTCGGACTGAATATGCATAATGAGATGGCCAATACTCAGGCATGTAAGTAGGCTCAGATTTGTTGAAGTCACCCTTTGAAAAGTCCCAAATGAAATCTTCAAGAAGGTCGCCAGTCCTTTTGGATAAAATGGGACACGAATTGCGGTGCTGGATTTTGTCGAGGTTGTGTAGAATAGAATAGTTTTGTTGAAGAGGAGATTGATTTGTTGTTGCAGATATGTGTTGTTAAAGAGAGACGCCAACTCGAAGGGAAAGACATGCCCAATAGATACGTAGAAATTGGTAAGTAAAGTGGAAAGGGAGATGGGTAGAAATTGGTTTGCAAAGAGAGAGACATACCCGGAATATGATGATCAAGGGAAGACTAAAGGACTGACCAAAGGAAAATCACGCCTGAAGAAAATGCAGAACTTGGCAAAAAGAAAGACGGCTCACTTGCCAATTAACGGTTTGTGCTTTCACCTGGCAGTTTCTAGTTTATCATTATTGGCAAAGGGCACGTCCCTCATGGGGTATGTGTAGTGTTCCTGAGGAAGCCATGCGTAGTTTATTTTTCATTGTGTAATCTTCGTAAGTGTTTAATAATTGAGTTAATTTTTTATTGTGACGACAGACAGAGCATACTGTCTGAAACGTTGAGTACCCTCCGGTTCTTTTCAGAGCCACATGTGGTACCGCAAACCTCTACAACTAACTTGCTTCCTTCACCATGAAAAGCTTGAAAGCCCATTGTGTAATTGGCCGATTGAAATCCTGTTGCGCAGGTGCAAATTCAAAAATGATGGTTATTTATCGCCACTTCTTTTGTATTTCCTATTTTGTCTCAGTGAACTTGTTCACGACGGACTTCTACGTGTGTGGCCTGGCCCCTATGCAGGATAACCTAGTCGTCATAGCGTACATGATGGATGAAGCAGTTGAGGAGGTAAGGTGTAGCACTGTTCACTGTGAAAAGAATTGGGATAGGCAGTTTACTGTTAGAGGTGAATTCCGTGTCTTCCATGTCGCCATTTCATGGGCAGTAGATTTGTAAAGACTTCTCAAAGTGATGGGATTGGCGGTGACTGGTTCACTTCACACATTCCAATGGGCCGATTGGGAACCAGTGCATAACTTCACTCAATCAGCTCCACACATCAATTATCTTCAAATCAAAAGTGACCTTTGACCTGTTCTTGCTCTGACCTTTGACCTACCCTGCTCAGGAGGATGGAGAAGACGAAGGAGCTCGCAGGCCGCAGCTGAAGATTATCACCCCGCTTCCTGAAGACTATCACGTTGTGTCCTCCGATGCCCTGTCTATTCGGGGATTCAAGGAGTACAGGCCCAGCGACTACCATCTAGGTGAGGCTTGAGTCACCAGTCTACAGGGGACCATTTCCATTTTTTAAAGAATCGATAAAGAATTATTTTTCCTCCTTTCCTTTCTTTTTTTACACTTAAATGTTTTAGACGTGATCTCTCATGGCTATAAAAGACCAACAGTTTTAAATGGCAGCACAGAGTCTTCTAGCCTATTTGTGTAAACTGCTGGTCGTGCATTTCAGTGTTTAATGCATATGCTAAGTAGCAAGTTGTACATCGTTGGTCACCCTCGACTTGATGCTAGTGGTTCACTGGTTAGAGTTGAAAGAAGTTGATAATAATCTGGTCGTATTTGACACTTGGTGAAGATACATGTAGTGGCACTAGTTTGTGTAGAAGTCTCATGGATTTCCAAAGTTGGTTTGTAATTTCAACGCGACCCTGTACATACCCCTGACTAGTCGCACCTCTTTCGTTGTGGCTGTTCCTAATGTGGCGCAGAAACACTGGCCAATTTCAGCAAATGCACAGAGAATGTGGATGACTTGGTTTCTTCAAACCGTGAACTAGCAGCAGTAAGATCACCTGGTTGTCTTTTTTTGCGTGCGTGTGTGTGTGTGCAGAGTATTTGGAGGGGGAGGGTGTATTTTACATCGTCAGCCCCAAGGACATCGTTCTGGCCAGAAAGCGAGACATGGATGATCACATTGCATGGCTCATGGAAAACGAGATGTTTGAAGTAAGTCGATCCTCACATGATGTTCACATACGTGCATATTTAACAGGTACCTTCCAGGTGTCAATTAGAACAGGAGCATTTCACAGATTTACGCCCTCTGCCAGTGTATTCAATTTACATTACAATAGCCTTTCATTTCCTACGAGTACACTCGTGGCAGAATCCAGTACACCTGTGACTACAAGTAGTCGGCAGTCGACATGTTAAGCACCCCTTCCTGTGGTTCCATATTGCTTGTGAACGTTTTCGTGTCAGCTACCGTTAACCAGTTTCTCTCAACTTTCTCGAGCAAAAAGTGGAATTTTTTATACGTGAGTTCAGTTGGCAACAATAGTGTCGTTCAACTGAAGATCAGAGAGAACCCTTTTGAAACTGAACTAGTGACTTTTTTTCTTTTTTTAGGAAGCGCTGGCCGAGACCAAAGCCCATGCCAAGACACTTCAGAGACACAAGGTACTAGACGTAGGCAGGGCTTACCTGAACCATCTGATCGCGGGAGGGGAGTTTGACAAGGCAGCCAGGTGAGCCGGGCTCAAACCCATTCAGATATTTTGGTCAGATTTTAGAGATGTTACAGAAGTCCCCAAAGCGTGCACCCTCACCAGAAACATCCAGATCTTCACTCTTCAGCCTGCTGATTACTCGCTCATGATGCTGCCAAATGTCCTTTGAAATTACTCAGAGTCACAATTCTTGCGGATTGAAAATGGCAAAAATGGTAAATGCTCGACAAGAAGCTTGATTTGCCCAAAAGGAAAATGAAGACTATCGCCCGTTGAGAACTTTACCCCTCATGGTTGTCATCGTTCCACGTGCTGACTCTTCTCTTTCTGTCTTTTTTCTTCTTGAGGCAAATACCTAGCCACTTTCGGTGGTAACAAATGGTTGCTTCACTCATTTGTTTAGCACTGACCCAGTTGACTTCCCCCATCGCAGTCTGTGGTGTTTCTGTACAGGCCCATGAATTGGAACTGTGAAAGTTTCTTCCTCCGTTGTGTTAATTTACTCCTTTGGTGGGGATTGTCAGATGAAGCAGCAATTGCAGATGATGTGTTTTGATGTTTTTTCGTTGCTGGTTTTTTTTTCGGAAGCATGTGTGAACCAATCCTGGGCAAGCACAAGGAGCTCTGGGAGCAGGAGGTGTTCCACTTTGCCAAGCTGCACCGCCTGAAGGCCATCAGCCCCTACATCCCAAGGGGGGACCTGAGGCTCAGCAAGGCCATCTACGAGATGATACTCAACGACTTCCTGCAGACAGACCTAGAGGTGGGTGACTTGGCATATGAGGGATGTTGGTGGGTACAAAAGGATAAGTGTGTACCTTGTGAGTTTTATCAGCCCTTGTATCCCACAGGGACCTGAAGGCCATCTACATGACAATACTCAACGACTTCTGCAGACGAACCAATACGTAGGTGACTGGGCATACAAGGGGTGTGAGTGGGTATAAAGGGGTAAATTTGTACCCTGTGAAAGGGATCATCAGCCCCAAATTTCCCTGGGAGACCTTAGATTCAGCAGGGCCATCTGTGAGATGATACTCAATGTAACCAGGTTTAAAGGGGTGGGTCTTCTGTACCAGGGTTCATCAGCCCTCATCCCAGAGGGGATTGAAACTCAGCAAGGCTCTCTTTGAGGTAATACTGAACAGTTTCCTGCATGTACCCAAATTTTGGAGACTGTGCATACAGGGGGTGTTAGCAGATATCCATGGGGTGTTGATGGGTATCAAGGGGTGAGAAGTGTCTCTTTTGCCTTCAGGGTTTCCATCAACTCATCAAGCTGTGGCCCACCGACCTCTATGACCTCATGACCCTGGTGTGCGCGGTGCAGGACCGGCTGCTACGCGATCCCGATAACCGCATTCTCATGCAGACGCTGGGGGAACTCTACTCTTACGATCAGCGATACGACAAGGCACTTGCAATCTATCTCAAGTAAGCCTACATCTTTTGCTTATTAATTTGTTCCCTTCATTTTACTCTTTTGGTCCTCCGAGAACAAAAGGGAAAAAAAGGTAATTTTGGAGGTCACCTTTGGCAGAAAATTGAAAAATGTTTTGTTGCTGAAACTTAGGACAGTGCATGCAATGTCATTTCACATGTTTGAGGAAAGTGTTGGATATCAAAAAAGCCATATCATTCACAAGTTGATCCTTCACTGCCTTTCCAAGGTGGGTAGCATTGTTGAAGCACTAAATGCGGTGTAAACAGGTCAGTTTTTGAAGGGTTGTCAAGTAAAAAAAGTACTGCTTTAAGCAAAATCAAGCTGGGAACCAGTCACCAGAAACCCAGAAGCCATGAGATTTCAGCCGGTGACCTGTTCCAGCTGAGTAAATACTCTTTCACACTTAGCAAATTCCAGTATAGAGGTTTTAGTGGTAGCCATCTTGCAGGGCAGTTCTGTTGTTCCACAGGGAAACCTCCTCTGTGCATACCCTGTGGAACAAAAGCACTGGCCTGCAAGATGGCAGCCATGCAAACCACTTATTTGGCAGTTGACATTGGCCTCAACGGTCACTAGCTCGGCTCCAACTTCTACCAGGTTCCATTTTTCCCCCTCTATCCAGGCTAGGCCACAAGGACGTCTTTCCCCTCATCCATCGCCACAACCTCTTTGATTCCATCCAGGACAAGATTGTCATGCTCATGGAGTTTGACAAGGAGAAGGCCGTCGATCTGCTCATGGAGAACGTCAACAAAGTGCCAGTGAGTGTCTGCTTCGACTGAGCGATCTAAGAGCTAAAGGCTTGACTCTAAGCCTCGGCCTCCACCTCCGCTAAACCCTAATTCCACTGATGCAGAGAGTAAACGGCACAGAATCTTGAGGGACTGAGTAGTGAAGTGTCGGGTTCATCGTCAAAGTCTGGAGGACCCATTTCCAGTGGGAGCCATTAGCAGGAATAACGATCTCACCCTCACAGCATGCACAGCTCAACCACATCCCCTTTGTGATTCGCTACATCGTCAAGCATAAATTGTCATTAAGACTTGCCAGTGTCGAGACGCAGCAATCAATTGTTTTCCTGAGCTGCAGAGCATGTTGTTTGAAAACTCAGGTCCAGCCCATTCAATAACATAAAAATGCGACAGACTTGGGGTTTGAAAGCGGATGAATACATCATTTTCCCTGAGCGAGACAGCTAGTTAAATAGTCATCAGATGGTTGTTACCAGTCTAAGATCACACATCATTAGCATCCCTTTTTTTTCTTTATAAACCCCCAGGTGAAAAAAGTAGTGAAGCAACTGGAAGAACGCCCGGAGCTTTTGTTTCATGTAAGTACAGTTTACTGACATGTCAAATGTTGCAGATTTTAGAGCTGCTAAAACACAACTGGTAAAAGCAGGTGTCAAGGAATTATATGCCGTCGTTACGTCAAAAAGTCTCTTCTTTCTTATGTCCCAGTCACATTTTGGCCAACTAGTGCCTGGTACAGTCTGACCGCCATTACAAAAGCAATAGCCTAATGCGCTGTCACTAAGTACGATATAATCTCGATATTCCTCAAGTTGTCTAATTCGAAACTCCGTTTGTCTTAAAGACATACTTTATTGCCGCTAAAAGAAGTGGCTCTTATGTACAAACCTACCCCTGTCAGTGGAAAAAATCCTTACTACTAAATCCGTGTATCTGAAATTTTTGTGGGGCCAATCCCAAAGAAGCCACCCCCGAAACACGTACAAAAAGAGTAAAAAAAGAACATGAAACCTAAATTTAGTCTGTACTGCCCAGCTCACTTTGTCTTTTCACACTGGGACACTTGTATGGAGGCTACCACTGTGATCAACGTAGTTACATAAACAAATCCTGGCTTGCAAGCTAGCCCATTTGCCACCATGGGCCCAATTTGCCGCCGTGGCCCCAATTTGCCGCCATGGCCCCAATTTGCCGCCATGGCCCCAATTTGCCGCCGTGGCCCCAATTTGCCACCATGGCCCCAATTTGCCGCCATGGCCCCAATTTGCCGCCATGGCCCCAATTGTAACTGATCACTGACTCTTTGCCGTGGCCATGTGACCACACTGGAGGTCTCACAGAACGCTCTTCATGTTGTGCACTTCTACTGAAATGCTCAGTGGTGTACTCACAAGCAATTAAATACGAAAGGTCATGTGATCAAGGATAGGAAAACCTCTAGTGTGTACATCCCTTTGCCTAGGGCGTCGTGCAGTAGACACTGTGACTGACCATATATGCACGTACATGTATGTGTGGATTAAACTATCACTTGACTGTGTAAAACTTGGGAACTTTCATGAGCTTAAAAGGTGCAGACCTTGAAGTTTCTATCCATTCACCTGAGCTTAGAGCTACTAAGGGTTTTCTGTATTTTTAAAATCGATCATAACCCCAGTGAATAAACAACTAAACTAGTTGAGTACAACTAAGTAACAGAATTATGGGCCTCTTTAAAATTAGCAGGGCAAATGTGCACTTCATGGTCAAATCTGAGACCAACAAAGGGTGATATTTCTGCAGACGCTGGCCACCCACTCGAAGAGTAGGCATTGTTGCTGTTTTCCATGAGAGAAAAAAGTTCCTCTGGGACTCACTTTGAATTTCCCCCCCCCCCAAAAAAAACCCCCAGTACCTGCATGCCCTGTTCCAGCGGCATCCGAACCTCAGCCAGGACTTCCAGGCCCGGCTGGTCCCCCTGTACGCGGAGTTTGCCCGGGGGGAGCTCCTGCCCTTCCTGCGGCGCAGCCGGCACTGCCCGATGGAGGTGGCCCTGGCCATCTGCGAGCAGCGGCAGTTCATCCCCGAGATGGTCTTCCTGCTAGGTGGGTCTAATTTCACCTGTGATTTTTCCAAGTCAGCGAATGTGCTCAGATGGGGAGCAGGGTTGATGGCGATGCGACCATTATTACCCGTCCTGACAAATGCACCTGTGCATTGTAGTCCTCTCGAACCTTCTTGCGCCATGAATACTGTAAGCACTGTGTAGTTTGCTTAACCTTCTCTTGTTGAGAAATGTTGCCCCTTTGCACAGTTTCATCGATTTTCTCCTCTGTGCTTAATTTCAAAATAAAAGTTTTCGGAACCAGCAGTACAGCTTTGACCAAGGTTCTATTTCAAAAGTTTTGGAGTATGTCCAACCTTCATTTTTTTTTAGCGCTGAAGCTCGCTGTACATGTAGGTTAACTAAGGTGGAAAGCTTGCGGTAGCACCATGCAAGGATACGATCTCTTTGTGAGTCTGTATGGTTCTTTCAAGATGTATTTTTTTTGTATGTATTTTTTTTTTTCTTTTTTTTTTTCTTTTTTTTTTTCTGTATGGTTCTGAAAAGAACGGTGAGGAACTCAACGTTTCGGACAGTATGCTACCGCAAGCTTTCCACCTTAGTTGTCTGTCACCGTGAATAGCTTGAAATCCAAATATGCATACTCCACCTGTCACACATATCTGCGAATTCAGTTGTGGTCAAAAGTCTGCATAACTCCACCGAGTGTGGTCATATCTGCATGCCTGACCCCGCCTCTTTGCATCGGTGATTTGCATAACTACTCGCCTCACAGGTCGCATGGGCAACACGACCCAAGCCCTGAAGTTGATCATAGAGGAAATGGGGGACGTGGACAAAGCCATTGAGTTTGCTAAGGAGCATGATGACACGTGCTTGTGGGATGAACTGATTGACGCCTCCATGGATAAACCTTGTAAGTGGACGTGTTGGGATGTGTGAAATCATAAATATTCATTGTATGGTGATAAGTAGTTCTGATTGGATAGAGGTCACAGAGACTGATGGCGAAGCCTTTTTTATGACGTGACAGTGAAGAGATGGGATTGTTTAAACCAAATACTGATCGATATTTTAAAAAGCCTTTGATGCTGTTATTTACTGCATAGTTTTTTTATAGAGAGTGTAATTTTCCAATATAACTGTAGATTAATATTGATTGAACCATAGTAGGCACAGAAACCTTTTTATCTGGACAAAATGAAGGTCATTCCATTCTTGCATTGGATAGGAATACATGGTTTAAAGTGGAAATCTGTGGGAACTCCGCTGAGCTTAGGCAAAACCTTATATTTTTTCTCTGATTTTATTTGTCTCAAGCATTCATCACGGGACTCCTGAACAACATCGGAACCCACGTTGACCCCATAATTCTGATCAAAGTAGGTATTCATTCTTGAAATTTGTTAAAGTTTATCAGTTGAATTCTTGTCATGTTAAAATGCCCCCCCCCCGTTAAAAACCCATCCATCCACTGCATCCGCCAGTCCGTTCTACCTACCACACCACACTGCCAACCCATCCACTGTTACTATAGCATGACACGCCGTCGACTTTGGAAAAGAGATTTCAACGTGCCATTTCATTTTCCCTGACAGCGCATCAAGGAGGGCATGGAGATTCCCGGCCTGCGGGATTCCCTGGTCAAGATTCTCCAGGACTACAACTTGCAGATCTCCCTGCGAGAGGGCTGCAAGAAAATTCTGGTGTCGGACTGCTTTGCCTTGCTGGACAGGCTCAACAGGATACAGAAACGAGGAATCCAAATCGAAGGTATAGAGGGATCCCAATACGCGCTTTTAGCGTCGATCTGCGCACTTCCGTGTTTGAAAACGAGGCTGTATATGTCAGCTTCAATTCTTGATACGATCAGACGATTGAAAGTAAGGAGTCAAGTCACAAAATGTATAAAAGTATGTTAAATTCAGACTTTTCAGGCTGAAAATTTTTGTGGAAGAATCCTTCAGGATGACTCAACACGTAAAAACCCATAGAAAATTAACGACAATTAACCGCGAACTAACGTACCTGCGATGGTCGTGTATCTTGTGCAGTGGGCGTGGTTTAAACTGAAGTGGCGTCACACTTACGAACCGGATACTCCATGTACTGTATGGACTTCGCGGGCGCGCGCGACGAAGTTCAACACAGAGAGCCTCAGTTTCGATGCAGATATGCGGAGACGGCGCTAATGTGAGATCCCTCTATGCTAAGGTTATTCGCTCACTTTCCCCCTGAGTAGACTCTGAATATGGGCTTGGTACATGCTCCAGACAAATTCTGAACCACAGGAATCCTCCTAGACAAAGATGCAATCTGCACCAAGTTGTCTTATCAGTCAAAATCGGTCGAGTGACACATGATATGTCTATGCGCTGCAGAGGGAGAAGTGGAAGGAATTCTTGACTGACTGTGACTGTTGCAGCAAGTGGAGGGTTAATGACCTGTACAGCTTTAGCCAGAAATAGATGTTGTCTTTGTGTTCCCGTTTCCGAATTTTTAAAGAGCAACTCTAAGGAAAACATATTTTCTCTGATTTTATCTGTTCAAATAAACATGGAAGCATCCAAATTGAACGCAGTGTCGTTTGTCTTCAGAGCTCAACTATAATGAGCTAAAAAGGACTTTTTTTCTGTTCATGCCAAGACACGAATTCTGAACATGCTGAATGTAGATTGCATCATTCTGAGAAAACGAGGGGAACCCTCGCCCTGTGTTCGTAGTGGATAAACCCTTGTGCATCTCAAACAGTGCATGTAGCCATTGTTTGTAGCCATGTCCATAATTCGCGTCTTGGCATGAACAGAAAAAACCCTTTTTAGCTTGTTATAGTTGAACTCTGAAGACGAATGACACTACGTTAGATTTGGAGGCTTCCATATTTATTTGAACAGATAAAATCAGAGAAAACATGTTTTCCTTTGAGTTGCTCTTTAAAAAGTTTCTGCTTAAATTTTGCAATGTTTTTCTCCATTTTCAGAGGATCACCACTGTGATAGTTGCCACAATCCAATCCTGGCAGGCGGTGAGTTTTAAATGTATTTGTGGAGATTACTGGGCTTTTGCAAGAAAATTTATTCAAAAGCACTCCAGGGGCTTTTGCCCGAAGCGCTCAAAATGCTTGGAAAGGGGGTTGGGCTCTGTGACACTGGAGCTACCGAAATTGTGCAGAACTAAGCATTAGATGTGGGCAGTTTGAAGCAGCTAAAAATATTCTGCAGTTTAAGCATATTTAGCTTTTTTTTAAGGACTTGCTGTTTTGGCTTTGGATGTCTGTTCATGTTCAGAAAGAGCACAGTTGATCTGGCGCTGTGGCCAAGCTGCTGCTAAAAAGGGATTTATGTTGCGAAATTTCAAAATTGTGCCTTACGCATGGATGGAAAGACCATTTAATAAGCTTTAATTTGATGTGATTTTGAGGCCTGTAACATTTTGCATTCTTGAGTTATTGGGAAAGAAGTACATGTATATTCATTCTCAGAAATTTCTTGAAATGACTAAGAAGCCATTTAAAAAAAGGTATTTTAAAAGTTAAAAGTGTTCAGGCACTGGGGCGAAGTTGCTGCTTAATTTTGATTTCATTTATTTTTTCCAATTCTGGTACTTTGGATTTGGGTCCGTCTTGAACAGTGCACCTGTCTGTCCTTGTTTCTTGCAGAGTCCCAGCCCAGCGTGATCGTCTTCTACTGCCATCACGTCTTCCACGAAGAATGCCTCATAGCCCAAAACACGGTGAGAAAGCTGACAAAAATCAGGACCCATCTAACTGTGCCATTTTGATGTCCCCTTAAGTTACATATGCCTGTTTCGTGGACCCCAGCGAGAAGAGCACACACCCAGTTTTGGAGATGAGGTTTGCCCTCCAAAAACTGCAGCACACAAGTGGAGAGAACTCCTTGCATATTTGGACACTGAGGCCATGTCTGACCTGTGTATTGGTTGTGTCCAGAGCTGGGTCTAGGTCTTGACCTTAACAGCGTCCCAATTAAGACACAGACCAAGCTGTGAAGTACTCTCAACATGCTCAAGGCTTTGTGACATTCATTAGGCGTTGGATCACAAGAAGTATTTGGAAATTCCGAACTAAGCGGTGTCCATTAGAACCATTTTTCCCTGTTATGTCGTTTTTTGGTTTTTTTTTCTGCAGGAACATTGCATGATATGTCATTCACAGCGCAAGGGACCAGGCAGCTCCGTGGCCGCATTCAGATGATGCCAGGTACCAGCCTGACGTTGGCGTGGGGGGAGGGGTGTCATCTGGACCACCGAGGTTGCTTTTGTAACAGCCAGTCAGCGGTTTTGCCCCCTTGGCAGTATCCATTAGAGATTAGACAAGGTTGTTCATGTAAAATTACTAATTACGTGAATTGATAGAAAGAAGCCCCATCTTGGAGTGTGTCCTTCGAAATTTTGCCACTCGCCTTCCAGCAAACTGTCTTGTTTTGTCAAGGTCCTTTTTTTCACCAGGGGGGAAGGTTGGGGGCAAACCGTTCGTAGCAGAAAGGGGTCAATTCCGAGGTAGTTTCAAGCAAATTGGTGTTTTAGTCACCTCCCTGCCCCCCTTCCCTTAAATATTTTCCTGGGGCCCAAGCCACCACCTTGCGACACCCATGTCGGGGACACTTCCCCCAGCTAACATGCACCGATGTGAAACTGAATCCTTTCTCATATCCTCTCAATGCAAATATGGGCTTTTTAGTCAACGGAATCATGTAGACCATTTAAGGACGAATCAAGGTACATTTTCAAGCATTCTGCTCTTCAATGTCATCATCCAAATGTGTATGGAAAAAAATGACATATTCTTATGATTCTGTCGGCCGTAACAATTGAAGTTTCCCTCAAAAATCCACCACTCAATAAGTAGTGTTACCAACTTGATTACAGCACAAATGAGAGCTTGCTATGAACTCAGCTAACTGGCCATAAATTGATGTGTTAAACTCAAGCATGCGCATAGCTTTCCACACATTAGAAACAAAGTCACATATTCACTTGAAATATGTGTGGGAAAAATTTATTTGTTCGTAACACTTTGCTTGCAAAGACACTTTTTCATATATATATATAAGTTGTAAGAATTCTTCATATGTTTTGCATTATATTCATTTGTAAAGTAAACTGTGCATAAAAAACACGAAAACTGATCTTGTAAAAACTTGCCACAAATGACTAGTGATTACATACAGCTATATAAACAACGGAAATAAAGTTGTCTCTGTAACACAGCACTGTTGTAGTTTCGTGCTCATTTTTTCATCCAGAAATGTGAAGGTCAGCAAATAATGCTTGTGCAAGTGCATAGATGTGTTGAACATGGTGTCCAGGTGGTTGTCTGAGCTACTACAAACCAAGCTGAGCTGTGAACTTGTTGAGGAATGCTTGAGGATTTTATCGGGTTAGTGCCAAGTAGTGCATCGGTCTAGTCCATTGGGGACGTATTCGAAACCCCGTTCTCAACACGAGAACAGGATTCCGAATGACGAGAATCAACACGCGAACTTTGTTCGTGAACAACATTGTCATTCTCTATTGAATGAACTTGCATATAGACTTGGAAGGGATTGGGGAAAGGACTTGTGATAGACTCAAACTGCTGTACTGCTGCCAAGGGCTGCCGATTCAACTGGGGCGTTTCCTCACTGTACGCTGGATGTGGACGCTGTTCAAGTTGGCCTACCAAGTAGATTATCAAATATGACGCCATTCTGAGAGTGATTGTTCACACTGATTCTGTCTGATTTTCATGTATCCTATCTGGGGTGAGTAGGTGGTATCCAATTTCATAGAGCCTATGAGCAGAAAAATCCTGCTTAGCAAAATTAAGGGCTAAGCAATAATTAGCACATTTCAGTACTTGACAGCTCTGAAATGGCCCCAAGGTCTGAATGATTGTAAGCATCGGTGCTTCTGTTTCTTCCCAATGGTGGCATCAGTCCCACTTACAGTTTGGGACAGTCCCAACTGTGGTGTTGAAGTTGGGCTGGCCCAACTGCAGTTGGCAAACTTCAGCAGGAAATTTCTCAACCTCCACGGTTTTGCGGCTCGCACTCATAAGAATTCATCCAAAATATGCTAAAATGGCATTTCATCCATAACACATACTGCATAAAAATAGATTCTTTTTGCACAAGTTACTGACAATCAAATTGGTGTTGGTACATGCTATGGCACACAATGGCATTCAGTGCTCTTTAATATTTGGGCCGGCCCAGCTGTAGCACTATAGTCGGAATCCTCCCCACTCTAGTTAGGACAGATACCCAAGTTGGGGCCAAACACTCCTACTCAAAACTAGACTTAAAAACATTGAAGTCATTTCCCCAACCCTGACTTCACACCAGCTTTGCATTTTCCGGATTCTGCTCCCGTACCGATTTGAAATCTTTCCCTAATTTTCCTTGTTTGCCTTATGTCGATGTAGCCACAGTCTTGATATGCCATGTCTATGAAGTGAAATCACAGTGCTTTTAATGTAAAAGATGACTTCTACTTAGATTCCCCTCTTTTAGTGAAATACACACAGTACATTCATCAAGTACTGTCAAGTTCAAACCTATTAAACAGTGGCAATGTTGGAAAGCTTGCAACGTACAAAATGTTGAATATAGTGCGTGTGAAAATATACACATTCATCTGCTAATAAATAACTACATATATAAAATTCTGTGAGACTCTTTATCTAGGAATTCGGCAATCATTTTTCTAAAAATGTACATTTTCTTGGCACACAAACATCAGTAAAATAAAACGTCCAAACTTTTGGGGGGAAACATCACTCAAAAATTTCGAATGCATTGTAGACACGTCTTGTTGAACGTACATATTGCCAAACTTTGTTCTACAAATAAAACGCTGTGATGCTCCGAAACGCCCAAGTGCGCCTAATTTCTTGGCTCTGGGCTTGGTACATTTTAGTACCCTGCCCGGCACAAACCCCACATGGATTATGAAGTCGTATTTCTCTCACGTGCAGGGCACTTGAACTGTTCCGTTGTGACTTCTGCCGGAATGCTAGTACTGTGATAACATGTGCTGGACTTCACTGTCGGAGAGTTTTCCTGCGGACAAAAAAACCCAAGAGACTTCACTTTAATGATGCAAAAGCATTCCTTTGTCACTGTTCACCCTGTTCGTTGTGACTGACTCGACTACGACTCTAATTCCTGGTTGAAAGCACTAGGGCATGGATAGTACCTCTGCCCAGTACCTCACCTCGCACAATGCAGCACTTCCACACGGACATGGGGCTGTTGTTCTGATGCAGACTGCAGGAGCCGGTCTCTTCACCGCCCATGAGGAACAGGAAGACTGGCCACACCCAGACGTCCTCCTACGAAGGTCAAAGAAGACGGTGCAAGGGATTAACACTTCAGATTTGCTATATTCATTGAAACATGCAGTGGATCTGCACTGAAATTATGGATAACACTGTGTAACCTCAAGAAAGCCAAATGATGCCATATCCTTGACAGTGATTTTAACCGTTCCTGTAGCAACAATTTTATGTGCTTGTCTACCCTAACCCAAAATCCACAAGATTCCACAGCAAGCATTTCTGTGGATTATCCTAGCAGATCAGTTGACAGGCCTCTTTCTGTTGGGCTGGTTCTGAATCCGTTGGATTAACAACTTTCCAGATAGAATATAGAGAGTTTTGGAGTCCTGAAAGATGCATCAGTTTTAGGGTTAAGCTATGCATGCAGCTTGAAACATGATACATGTACTTGGAATTCAGCAAGGTTTCTCACAGCCTCTAAGGCTGAGTTTGGGCGGCTTGTTCCCGTATGTTCAGGAACAGCTCGATTTGTTGCTCGTGGGTTGGTCACTCAAACGCCGAGAACAAACAACCGGTTATCACAAGCAACATGCAACATGGCGGCGTCCATGTACGTTATTCGAGAGTTAAGGTTTGGATGGGCTGAATTCTTTTCTATATAAACAGGAACATTCATTTCTGTGTTACGGAAAATAATTAATGTTGATTTTGCAAAACTGCCCACTGTCTACATGGCCTATGGCTTTGTAAACCATTTCTCTACTTTTTGCAGCTGTTCAAAAATCAAAATCTCAGGAGTTTTTCCGTGAGTTCCTTTAAAACCCTGACGAGGAGGTGGTGTGTGATCCTGTTCTGAGAACAGTGTTCTTGAGTTGTGTTCCAGCTGTTCAAGCGCAAGAACATAAACAGGTCGCCCAAACTCGACGTAAGAAGGAAGTTTTAAGCCAAACGTATCCCATATAAATTGTACATACCTCTTCCTGACTATCTTTCAACAGCAGCTCTCTGTGTTGTCCTGAGGAAAGTTGACTTAAATGCAGCCTCTGGGGTCGCTGTACATCTGTTGGGTTTCTGCCTGGCAGATTATTCAATGTCTGAGACCTGGCGTGAAGCCGAGGCCTGCTGTCCTTACTGCTACTCTCTCTGTACCCTGTTGGTCTTTGGCTCTGCTGAAGTTGGTGGAATGTAGGGCCTGATTGGTCACTCGGTTGGCTTGTCTCTTCCACGGTAATGTGGCAGACTCTGTGATTGGTGGGCTTCACCTGAATTACTCGTTGGTAGGGGGTTCGTTTCAAGTGGGACATCTGATGCTCTGTATGGTTCATGAGGGGCTGGGATGGGTTGACAGATTGATAGAGGGCTGGCGATTGGTCAACTGCATGATTTACAAGGAGTGCCGGTGGTTTTGATTGGTGAAAAGCATCACTATGATACATCGGGAAATGTCCCTTCTCGGGATATAGAGTGACACTTGATTGGTCATTTGGCACATGCACACTGTCTGATTGGTCAACTGATCTACTTTCAACTTTTTTCGAAGGCCGCGAACAATGAACTTGAACATCTCTACCCTGTGGATATTCAGCATGTTGAAGATCATCATGCGAAGATGTGAAACCCAAATTGACAAAAGTCACCACTGATTTCTCATCTGACGGCAGCAACTGGAGTTTATCCGTGACCTTGACGTTACTTTCAGAAGATCCCACATCCAATGGTCTCACGTACTTGACATCTTTGGCATTTGACATCTTTGACATTTGGCTGGCTGTTGCCGACACAGTCACTCGTTCTTCTGGCTCTAAAACAGATGGAAACTCTGAATAAAGACACTGCTCCGTGTCGTAATAACTACCACGATTACATTCCACGTTAGCATCGTTATCAAAAGATCTACTTGAAACATCAGCACGATGAAAACTGCAGCCAGTGTCTACTTGAACATTTAAACCAGTATTTAAAATTGAGGTATCATTCTTGAGCAGCCGGGAACAACTCTGGTCAGCCTCTACACGATTATTGCACATGTAATCTGGCTCTATATAGTCCAGTGTTATGCAGTCTTGGATGGCTGAGGCATGGGGAACAACGGGGCCTGATTTTGACATTGCACTTGATACATATCCTGTATTTGACGGAACTCTCTTGACGGACACTGGTGACGAGGGCTCGCTCAGCACATCCTCCAGGACCCACTCTCCGTTCTGTTGCTGGAGATTAACAGGATGCGTACTCACTGTAGTTTCATCTTGGTAAGCCCATCTCTTGTCGGTGTGATGCTGGTGAAGTGGAGATTCTTCGTTGATGATGAGTTTGCTGGTCTCTTTCTCCTCTACTTGATCCACGTCCTCGGAAGAAATGGCTGACGTGATGGCCCAGTGTCTGTGACCAGTCCTCTCTTTGTCTCCCTGGATACGATCCTTCATCTGATCAGCTCTCATGGCAACGGCCCACCTGCCATTCTCTGTCTTCTCTCCATCTCCCTGAGTGCACATCTTTGCATTCTCCTGTGTTTCCATGGTGACCAAGTTTCCATCCTCAGTAACTTCTTCGGCATCCCCTTCCTCGTCCTGATCCGAAATGAACAAGGTTTTCTTTGCCGAAGCCAGGGGATCCACATCGTCATCCGCGGACGGGTGAACCCTGTTTGCAAAACGGTGGATCGGAAGATCCCGCCGTCGCCTTTCACTGCCGATGACCGGTGGGGAGGAATGGGGCCGCACAACAAACCTATCCATCAGTAGCCTTACAGGGGTTTCTGCCCCAACCCTGTCCGGACCTCTCTCATTGTGGGCCTGCGTGGGGGCAGACAGGGGCCGCTGATTGTCTCGTAGGGTGCTGAGGTAGGAATTGTCTATGATGTGGTTGGATGGGATGGACAGCAGGACGTGGCGTGTGCAAGAGGTTGGGGTGATTCTACGGTTTGGCGTTGCAGTGTGCCAGCTGGTTGAGCCTGAAAATGTGTGAAAATAAGAATTTGAAGTGGGTAAAAATGTGAACATGTCATATTAGGACTTCAAAAACTCATTCCTGGAAGTTTTGTGTGTATTTCTCATTTGAAAAATTAGTAAATCTCTCCAAGACGTCCTGTACAACAAATGTCAATTTTTCACTGGAGCTTTGAAGCCACTTTCCACAAGATGCACTCAAAACCTTTTAAAGAAACGCCTTCATATAAAGATTTATCATTCCAAAACATCAAACAAATAAAATTGGTTCTTTTATCAGAACCTTTGACATTACATCTGTCAGGGTTAGGAACATGCATTGCATAGCATCAAAGCTGCCAAAAGCACTAACAAGGTGGTACATGTATGTCACTACGAAAATGGAATTTCAAAACTCCTGCGACTTTAACTCAATCCATGTTCGTTTTTTTCCCCAGAATGTTTTGTAGCCAGAATAAATCTCACACCAAAACAAAACCATGATTGTAATTGGGTCTGTTTTTTTTTTTTGGGCTTACCAAAGTTGAACTTCCAAAGTTCATTTCTATATTCTCCCTCGCTGTCCTCTCCTCCAAAAATCATCATGCTGTTAGCCACCCGGACCGCGCTGTGGCCGTGGAGGAAGCCTGGACTTTGCCGGCCTCTGATTCGGGTCCACTGCCTGGATTCTGGAATGAAGAGATTGCCGTGCATTGACTGATCGAGGATTCCAACAGAAAACCCCTGAACTCGACTCCATGTGGGTTTTTTTTCAGAAAGAATTTTCTGAACCAGCTCAGGTTGGCATATTTTTTGTTGCGGTACTTTCCTCCCCTTCCAACTCTGTGACCCGTGGTTCGAATCAGCCTAGGTCAGAATGTGGGGATGGGTTTTCAATCCCTACTTGAAACTGTAGGTTTTCCCTCGGACTGTATGTCTATGGTTTTCCTCCCATCTCAAAAATTCAACATTTTTTCAATATCTTCTTCAGTGTAATTTCTAATCATCCTGTTATTGGCACCTACACTTTGTAATGAGCATGAAGACGAAACGTAAAGTAAATGACTATCTAAACTTTACCACCACTCTTGTATGGGTAATCACCGACAGACTATTTTTTACTTAAACTTGCCTGGGAACCAAGCCCTGTGAATGGTAACTGTGAACAAGATCTTACTTTCACCCTCCTCGATCATCCAAAATCCTCCCAAAGATGTTCGACTTTGGAAGATTAAGGCTGGTTTCTAGGGTTAAGCCTGACTGTCTTCCAGGAAATGATGAATCTGGAAAACCTTCTCCAAAGCGAAGTAAGACATCTAGCAATTCATCCAACAAACACTTGTAAAGCCTACCAAAGTTCCATTTCCACAGGTCTCTAAGTGGCTGCAGGTTGTTCAGGCCTCCGTACACCCACATGTTGCCCTCGTGGATGACGGCCGAGTGCCAGTGCCTGGGGGAGGGCGAGTTCTCCCCCTGGGCATCCACACTTAGGTGCCACCATCTTGTCTCTACACAAAGGCAAGAGAGTAAAGGTATCAGGAACTGGCCGGCACGACAACCTGCCACATATTTTCAAGGACAACAACATGACAAAAATGTTCAGATCCTGACACAACGGTTGTCAGCACCAACCGCGCAGATTTTATCATTTTACAAACTTCTGGATGAGAATACACATTAGAATGGGCGACAAAATTGAAGACCGCAGGATGGGATTTGTCTTGGTTTTTTTAAATCTCCATTACGGACAGCAGTTCTGGCCTTTCTTGAGGAAAGTGTGAAAGCCCTAAAACAGATTGCATAAGGAGAGGAATGAAAACAACATGCGTGACAGAAAAGAATGTCCCGATTGTATGCAGCACAAGACAAAGCGCAAAACAGGGACTGCATTTGGGCGGTTATAACCAAGAATTGGTTCGACTGTTTCTCTTTGGTTAACTGCTCGGAGGATTTGATTAATATCGCGGGTAATTCTCACCCAATTAAAATTTCCAAAGTAAATCTCCAACAAATTACCATTGACCCAATTCTTGGTTAAAACTGCCAAAAGGAACCCTAGAAAACACAGCTCCCAACAAAATTCCCAGCCTTAAAATGAGAAAATGGATTTTGAGTTTGGATCCCTGGACCCATACAATGTGCAAATATGAGGATCTCACCAAAGTCGAGCGTCCACAACTCATTGGATGAGCCCTTCAAGTCAACGTAGCCACCGTACACGTGCATTCCCCCACACCACACCACGGCCGTGTGACCCCGCCGACCAGTGGGGGTTACAACCTCGGACTCAATGACAGGCTTCTCCCAAGTCTGTTTGGCCAGACTGTAGACCCACAGTGGGGTCTCGCCACAGCTGCCATAGCCCAGCTCCCCTCCAAAGACAAACAAACACCCCTGCAATTCAAATGGATAGGGCCCAATTTCACGATGCTGGTAAGCACAATATTTCATGCTTACAAAGGCTCCACATATTTCATGGAGACCGTAAGCGGTAAGCGTAGCAGAAGGCATAAATGTACTTATCTTGAAGGAAAAATTTGCTTAAGATTAGAAGATAACATTGGGAATCAGTATGTGCAAGCAATGCCATGAAACAGTGCTCAAGGTTGGCAAATGCTTCTACTATTTGCTCTTTGCAAACTGCTGCCATAGGCATGCAGATCGAGCCTCGAACTGGCAGCTTGTACAATCGCGTCAAAATCACGTCAATGCAGCTTTTTCAAATATTGTCCAATCCGATGGGAGAAGAACTTACTTAGCATGTGCAAAATTACTAAGCAACATACACGCGAATCACTGTGCAAGCGTGATAAACATAGTGTGGACCTCTGCACAAAAGAAGTCCACATAATGTAGGGTGCGATGGTGTTGTGTGGACTCGTTGGGGTCAAGGTTATCCGTAGCAACATGAAGAGGAACAGTCCAAGAAATCACCACCAAAAGCCAGCTCGAAGGAGTTATCCCAGTTGAAGAAAAAGGAACATTTTTCCCAAGTTACCTTAAGCACGAGAGAGCAAAGGAATGTCCGCACCTCCACAATTTGTATGTGAAGCAAGTATATGTGAACCAGCTACATGTACATTTATTGTGTAAAGCTACCTGATCAAGGCTCTGCATGCCTATGGCGGCAGCGTGCAAAGAGCGAATAGCACAACTTTTCTCTTAACTGTTAACTGAGAAATCATTACCTTTAAAGGCAAAAGGGTACACATAAATGTAGATTGTGTGAGGAAGACATTTCAAGCAGAAGCAATTAAGGTACATGTACATGCATACTGGGGGAACATGCCACTTACCCATACACTTTTTTATTGAAGGATTAAGAGAAATAAATAAGCTGACATCATTTTAGTACAACTTGGTACTGTTCAATGGAGCGTGGTTTTACTAACCGTTTACCAAATTAAATGCAGAGTTCCATCCTTAATTTACGGCTGGTTCATACATGTACATGAACTTGATTTGGTGCCATCAGATCAAATATTGGCACTGTGAATTTGCACAAAGTTCAATATGTTTCAACTAAAGCAAACTTCACAGCAAACGTTTCATGAAGTCCAAATCGCTTTTGCAAATTTGTATGAAGTGTAAACAGGCCTTTAGAATCACATATTACGTACCCTCTGAGCGACCATGGTGTGCTCGTGCAATGGCGGGGGCGAGTCCCCGCCGCACTCCAGCCGTGTCCAGATGTTGGTCTGTACGTCGTAGCGCCAGAAGTCCTGCAGGGTCTGGTGCCCATCCCGCCCGCCGTACACGTAGATCTGCGCACCGTCACGGCAGGCTGCCTGCTTGCTGCGATGGCAGGGCCGCCGGCAGGGGCTCTCTGGGAAGAGGCTCCTCCAGACGTATGCGTGGCTGTCCGCCATTACTGGGGGCGGCGGGTGATCATAGCAACGGTGGGCCGTCACATGATGGATGCTGCCATCACTCCAAAGATTTGGGATTTTACACTCTCATCCATTAGTGACAGTCTGGCAAAAAGAAAGAACAGTAGAATATTCAGCTTAACACTGTTTTATATGTACAATATTGTACAAGTTTTACGTTTTAAAAGACAATAGTTTTTATTTCATAGTTTATTTAAGGTTAATGATGTTTTCTGAGATGTTCAATTTAAATTGAAATAAAGTGACACACGGTACATGTACTAGTCTCTCAAGGTATCCTGAGCAGAGCGATCATATAGTACATGCACCTGATTTTGTTCAAACAATGTCCATTTACCCACGCCATAACAAACACTGTACTGTGCATTTACCTGCAGGCAAATGCATTATTTTTAAAATGTGCAAAATTTACAGGATTGACAGGGATACAGCATAGTTAAGTTCTGGCACACTATAAAAATACATATATATATGTACATTGTAAATTGGATTTTGAGTCGTCATTATTGACATGGACATGTACAATGTACAGTGCACACATACATGTACACGTACATGTATATCATGGTATCTACATGTATATATATGTACAATGTACAGTGCACACATACATGTACATGTATATCATGGTATCTACATGTATACATGTATGTATACTGGTACCATAGAGATTATGCGCTCCACATCCTCAGAGGGCAAGAGCTTAATCACCGGGACAGGCTCAAGTAAACCTTTTATGCATTCCTTGTAGCTAGACTGAAATAACAGAAACGGCATGGAGATGCCAGCAATGCATTAACCCCTATCAGAATACCCATGACAGTTCACAAAAGACTTTCAGTTTCAGTCCGGCCTCCCCAAACAGACAGATGGAAACATCTTCATGTATTCTCAACTAGTCCAGGGCACTTCACTGCTACACCTTGGAGGCTCATTATGCCCATTGACATGTGCAGAACTGTTGCCATGGTTTGATGCAAACATCAAACAGAGGCCCTGGGTGGCTATCAATGCATGGTAAACAGAGCTGTAAATTGATTAGACATAAGCCTGGCCAAATATTGTACAGTGCAGTGGGGAAATTTACAGGGAATATAAACAAGGTATGTACATGTACAATACCTGTGTGTGTGCAATAAATGATCGTGCAATATTCAATGATGAGTGTCAAGTTGTAGGCAATGGTTGTTCATACATGTAGATACATGCAGTACAGTTAAAGGTAAATGCTGGATATTTTTCCACTGCAAGACTTTATTTACAAAAGTATCTCCATGATGCTTTGCAGTGTAAAATGCCCATCGAGAATGTAACAGTTTTTTGTATTGTCATGGAGGAAGGAGAGTTGTCAAGTTCCACATGTACATATTCAAACAATGCTGATGTACAATACTGGACAAATCTTGTCAATGCAAAAAGAAAAAAATGGAAACAAAATTCTGGTGTACTGGTACATGAATTGTTACAATACACCTGCCGTTATTCTCTTACATGTACAGTGTATGCAGACCCACTCGTTTATGTACACGTACATGTACATGTACATGTATGTACCTTAAGAGTTTTTCACAAATCTGATCAATCCATTTACCGGTATATTTTCACTTTGGTCGAAAAATCACTCCATGTTCTGATACTCAACAGTCTGACTTGTTCCAAATTAGAGATTTTTATACATGTTCACGATAAATTTACGGACTTTGTTTAATGATTATATATCAAATCTGGTGGGCAGTAAGATACTGTACAAAGTGGCACATCATCACAATCCTGCCAGTGCCCAGTCAATGTGTGCACAGTTCCCATAATGAGCACTTAGAAAAAACCAATTAGCAGCGATTAAACCACCCCACTGCTACATTCTAAAGGATATGACAAGTGCGTCTAATTCCCTTCCATCATATGTGACTGTGAAGTACAGAGAAGCGCAGAAGAGATCAATCAACATGTCCCTGATCCATCATCAATTGTCACTCCCTCAATTTACATTTGTGTGGCACCTGTTCAATTTTTCATGGGTAATTTTTTTTGTTTCTGGGAGCTGACGTCTGCACGTACTACAACTCGCTGAGTGGAAAATTACCCAGCAAGGCACACAAATCACTGGTTCAATGCATTAGCCAATTTGTCTTCTTCTTAAAGCAAAGCTGGCAATAAACATGATGAAAAATAAACTATATACCAATAATTTTGCACTCTTTCTTATAGAACCCAATTACGCATTTAGTTTCATTATCGAGTGACTTGAAATGTTGAAAAATGTGAATTTGCCTGTCATGAAAATTTTGATAATTTGTATGTTTGAAAGTCTCTCTGACCACCTCTCCCCCCCAAAATACCCTGAAAATGAAATTGAATTAATGAAAGGTCATTTAAATTGCCCACATCCATTTATTTTTTTGTGAATTTCATACAAACTCACTCAGCCATACACTGGCTTAAATTACAGCAGTGAACATCTATACAGAGCCAGGAAACACTGCACGGCACACATGCACACTTGAACTGTAACATGGAAATACATGTAAATTGATGCTACCACGGTTCACATTGAACAGTGCCTAATTCATTTGAACCCTTCAAGAACTGTCTGTTTTATTTGAGGTACCGGTAACGCAAGGCAAACATCCCCTACAAGTACATGTAAGTTGCTGCATGAGCATGAATTCGCATACTGTACTGGGAAAATCTGTTATTTGTACCTTTCTCTGCAAACTGACATTGTCCATTGTCCATTTCAAAAGTAAGTTGTTTTTGCATATCAACACGCCACACAGTGCAATCATGCACAAAGTGCAGTCATAATCAAAGTCAAACAAGAAGGCTGGGGTGTAAATATCAACAAGAATATATAATATCAAATCAGTGCTCTGAAATATGTGATTGCTGAGCTTTTGGTAACTCAGTACCTTCCTCAGGGCAAGCAGGCTGAATCTGACTCTGCTCACCCTGAAGAAGGTACTCATATATTCTAGTCGATATTCTGATCACAGTGCTACGCAGCCCTTCCATATTAGGCTGGGATGTATCTTGATTTCCAATCTGAGTGAAAATTGTTGGTACCCGATTCCACCTTTTTTGGGGGGGTCAAAGAGGTTATAATCCATCCTCTCTACTGCAGGTCCTAAATTCCGAAACAAAGCCCATCATTATTTAATAAGGGAATAAATATGTGGCTTGGGCATTAGTGGCATCCATTCTCCTGAGTAAGGTCTTAATGTTAGTTTAAGACTGACCAAGCACATATTTATTCCCATTCATGAATAACTTTTTATTAAGAGAGTCAAAAGAAGTCAACACATGATGGATTTCCAATGACGTTGTTCTAAAACTTTACTTTCATTTCCCCAAACAACCCCGTCCATTTCACAGTACATATTTTGAAAGTTGTCTAATAGAATCCCTTAAACTTGGTGAGCATGTGGCGCGTCGCGTGCATGGCACACCGACTCCTGACCAATCAGAAGTGAGTAAAGTGTCTCGTATCCATGTGCCAGCGCGTGATTTATGCAGGGGGCATTATCACTTCTCAGCGGGCATTATCAAATGTTAATATACACGTACGGTCACGTGACATGTTTCAACCAATAGCAGTAGAAAAACAGTCCTAGGTAATTACGAATATCTGGTAAATCCACAGTCCCTGCTGTACCTGAGACAGATTCATTATTTTCATATCCAAAAGATGCCTCAAAAATACCGGTAACCACCGCTTAATGTAATCTAACATACATGTACATAGCATGGCACTGTGATGGGGGACACTTTGTGGGAGAACTGTCCGGAGGCAAAATGCTCCCGACTCCATATTTTTGATAGCGATCACAGCTCTACAGGTACCGTTACATGTACATTTAGCAGTTCCCTCAATTCAATGTGTGTGGTGAACGCGCTCTCAATTCAATCATAGAGCAAGGACTATGATTCAATGTGTGTGGTGAACAGGCCCTCAATTCAATGTGTGTGGTGAAGAGGCCCTCAATTCAGTCACAGAGCAAGGACTATGATTCAATGTGTGTGGTTAATGGGCCCTCAATTTAATTCTGCGCGATCAGTCAATAGTGCTGCACTAAAGCACTGGTCGATTGTAGAGTCAATCAATGTGATAATTTATAGAACAGGTTTTGCCCTAAATTAACATCTCCCCAAGGCAAAAATACATCTTGCAATGTGTTAATATTATTTGATTATTCAATATCAACTCAAAATCAATATTGCCGATATTCCAGAGCTACGGCTAGGTCTATTGTCTATGCGTCTCCATGCATTTCCAATGGAGCGAAGGCCTAGACCTAGCTCTAGACAACAGATTCGGATGCAGCCAATGTAGCAGCAAGCTGTGCACATGACTGGAGATAAACACATTCCTAACATTGGTGTGACCACCTCTGATCCTTGTTCTAAGTAGCCACCAGTGAGCTTAATTAAGGCTTGGAAATCTCAAACACCTGTGCAACTCAATACCCAATCGGGGTGCCCTAAGTGCACAATGACTTTTCTCATTGGCTGAACAGCTACACATATTATGGAACAAACTTTCCTATTGGCTCATAAATGTCTATCTCTTTGGCATAATGAATTCTCATGTCTCTGCATGGATTCTCGTATTGCTCGAGATGCGTCCACTTTTATGAATGTTCTGAGTCTAAAATTCAAAAATAAAATACGTAAAAAAACATAAATACATACATACATAAATACATAAATTTCTGCGACTTTTCCAAGGCCTGGCTATTGAAAAAAAAAGCCGTGATTTTTCTAGGAGTTGCCTTTTATCATGAGAATCCTGTTCTCATCATTCCATGGAATTCGCGACCTCCTCTGCGAAGCTGGACCGTCCAAAATTCTACATAATCTTCTTGATTCTCAGGGTGTACAAGTACCGGTAGTTCATAAATATTTTATGACTTTTTGTTCGAAATTTTTTTAGCAGTCTTTCCACAAACATGGTCTATCATTAAACTGTGGTTGAGTGCATGCTTTCCCTCCACGAGCCATGAATTGCAGGTGGGCCAGCAATAGAAATCAGGCTGATCAAAATCCAGGTTTCCAGTGCCATCACATGGCCATCCCAAACAGCCATGGATTGGACGGTCAGTACACAGGCTACAATCGGGTAAGCGGTTGCCATCAGGTGATGTCCAGTGTGCACACTATATCCCAGCGTGAAAGGGTGAATTGCGTGAGAGATCCGCGGGGGTTTCTTTAGTACTGCCAGTACTGGTCGAACAAAATGCAGGTACATACCAGTACATGTGGACGTTTGATTTGACTTGCAGAGATACAGTAATGTTATCATGATGTCTCATTCTCCTGACAAAAACGACCCAAACACATTACACATTTCATCACCTGCATCACGTCAAAATCCCATAGGGGGCTTAGGCCTACAGCACGTGTCCAGGCCATAGCGTTACGAACCCATAGTATAAACAGTCATTGTAGGGTAGGCCTACTTAGAGAACCGAGTTCTCCGAGTAGTCACAGGGGCTTCGGGCTGCAAGTCACACGCGACTTAAAGTTCCGCAAGGGCCTGGCCCATGGCCTGGTCATGCTTGCTGGTCTTTCTGATTGGGGCCTACGGGCTGATTTAGCCTTGGATTCTTCATCTTTATTCTTATCCAAATCATGCAAATCGACTTCCCTGTTCCATAGCTGAACGATCCGATCTCACTCTAGCGTTTGCTCACAACACAAATACCATGTAACTAGCAGCAATTAAGCTAAATGTCAAGACTAGTCAAGAATTATTCTTACCAATTTCAATCGCCAGCAGCCGACACAGGACCGCACATTCATTCGGATCTGAACGCACGTACCGCGTCCCCCGTTACCACGAATGTCGGCCTTCGATTTTCTGATACGAATAATTACTTATGGATAAAGGGCGCCCTCCAATGAGTAATTTTGCAATTTGTGGAAAATTACCGGGAAGTTCTGATTGGCTGAAAGTCAATCACGAAAAAATGACTCGCAGACGAACAACTCAGTGCAAGCGCGCTTTTGAAAAACGACTTCTTTTACTTTGACAGCCGTTCTCTGCGAAAAGGTAGGCCTCAGTCCTTTTCAATTCTTGTAAGGTTTTAAAAATGTAACATTTATTTAGATGATTAGATCAACACACTGAAGAACTGGTTCATGAAAACTGCTGTGTTCAAAAATTCAGCTGAAAACAAGAATTGGCAAAGGGGTTAACGTAAGCAAGACTGGCGTTCAACCCGGGCTGAAGTGTTGGTAACCTTTTGTGTTGCACTCAGTGTCGTTTATTTGGGATAGGTCGTGGGCCAAACGTTGAAAAAAAATCCGAAAACTTTCAAAGGTTACAGATGAAGCATTGCCCCAACATCTCTTTATCTCCAAATAATTTCAACTAGGCCTAGAAAGCATTATAGGCCTTTTGCACAGCAAAATGTGGAGGTCGTCAGCTGTCCCACGGGTCGAGTTGTCTCAACGGTCGAGTTGACAAACGGTCGTGGGTGACTACCAGTCGTTCCAATTCCATTAATTTTATGTTGACGTTCACTGTTTCCATTCATTGCAAATGTACATTGCTATTAACTACGAAAAAGGGAAGCAGGCATATGCAGTGGTGGAACTGCCCACTGGGGTACATTTTGCATGGGGCACTTGGGGCCCTCATTCATTTATAGTAAATGGTCATTCTACGGGTAAGGCCCAGTGGCGTAACTAAAGAGGGCGTGGAGACACGCCCCCGTCAACCTTCCCCCCTTGAGGCTTGTGACCCTCTCTCCCCTGCTGCTCAGGATTAAAAAAAAGATGATAGGCCAGGAAACTAGTACTACTTCTAGGCCGAGTAGCAGTCTGCCCAGCATTCTGCGCCCAAGATGGAGAACTTCATCGTTAATACGCATAAAACAACGTTGATGCAACAGGGGTAGGCTGCTACTGGCACGCACACGTTGTAAGCCTATGCCTAGCCTATGCATTAATGTTCGCACATTCACGTTCGAATGGCGCTCACAGTAATAACATCTGTTTTGGCCGAGTTCTCTATCTTAAGCCAGTATGCGATCTTTGGTTCTGATTGTGACCGAACCTATTAACATGACTGAGTGCCAAATGTACAAGGGACAGTTTAAAACCCACCGCCCCTCCCCCAAAAAATCGAACGAGGAGAAATTTCATAAAGCTAATCTTGGCTTCGGACCGTCACGTGGATTTATGACCAAATGCTATGGCTTCGTTCGGAATGAAGCGGTGGCGACCGGCACCGCGCCGGAGGCTCACTGTCGCGCGTCGCGCCTGCGCCTGGCGACGTCGTTGAAGGTAAATGTCGCCCTCACTTAGCAAGTGGCAAAACGTAAGTGTTAACTTTGAGCATGCTTCGAGTATGAATGGTGTGAAAATAATTTTTAGATGAGAAGATCACCCTGGGAAAAATACAGGAATGAACCAGTAAAAAGACGGGGTGTGTGTACATTGTTTTTACAAGGGATGAAGCGGTGCTGGATTTTTGAACGTGTAGTTCATGTGGACTTGGTTTGCGTTGCAAGGCAGTAGAGCAACCAACTACACGCTAATGCCTTATTATGCCATTTGGCGCGCCTTGGGTTTCATGTACAGGCAAGTTTCGCGGGAAAATAAGGTTACAAACGACGTGTCCAGGCCTCGTCAACAGGAGCGCTCGAGTATCACTGCGTGGCTGGTTTGGCGGAACTGTGATAGAAGGTTTAGCTCGTTAGATTTTGTCGTTTGGATGGAGGAAACTACGTGATCTGAACTCAAAAGAGGTAATTGCCATGTCCATATGAAAAGAAAGTCAAAATTTTTATACTGGTCGTTTTTAGCTCAGCTTTTCACGTGCGTCCAGTTTACGGACGTCGGACATGGCGGAAGGAAAGTAGGCCTAGCAATGCCCAGCCTAGGCCATGACATGTGATGACGGGTTAGCAATTTTGATTAAGGGCCGGGCCTGGTCAGCTTGCAATGTACAGGCTGTATATCATGTATGTTTCGCTTTTTGCCACTGGGGTCTTGGATAGGCCTAGGCCTCTTTTGTTTTCAACAAGATCTGGAATGTCACGTCATTTCTCGTCCACCACTAGAGTCTAGGCCTAAATTGTGCCTATTGTTGGGAGAATTTTATCATCATGATCATGCATGATGATCATGTTTACTGTAAATACATGAAATATCTAACGAGACACAGAGTTAGGCCTAATGTTTGGCTAGCATAGGTTTTTCCGCTGTGTAAATTGTTATCCTTGGAATCCTTACCTTTACTTTTTTACTCAGCAAATTCTAGAACATCTCTAATTTTTCCTTGTATCCTACCCAACAAGGACCAAGGCCCAGACATGTATTTAAGTTAAACTTAGGCCTACGCCTACAGCATTTCCTTCGGTTAAAGTCACTGGGAAGTCTTCAATATTAACATTGCCGTCGGCCATGTTGGCACACGCCGTTTTGTCTTTTTGTGGGGGGGAGATGATAGAAAATGTAAACTTGTTATCAGTTTTGGCATCAGATTTTGTTGGGCGTGCTAGGAACAGCAATGCATCCTGGTATCCATGTGTAACATTATTATTTGTTGTCATCCAGTCACAGTGCTTTTGTTTGTCTTAACTTCTTCTTGTTAGTCTTAAAATCAGTCATTTTCCTTTGTGTGGCTTTGTGCGTCTTTGACAGGATCCTGCCAAAAAAGAACCTTGTCGCCATCTGCCATCAGGGGTCATTTTTGAAGCAATGATGGTGACTGCGTGCACTGATGATCAGGGGGCTATATGTGACAAGGCAGCAGGCCTCAGCCCCCTCCTGGAAGCACTGGAGGGGAAAGGAGGCCCCCTGAAGGAGAAAGTTGGGGCTTACATGACCTTGGCAGAGTAAGGAGACAGATTAGAAGTTTCCATAAGGAACAGATTCAAAGAGGTGCTTTTCACATGTGGGTTCAGATGGTCTAACTCCAGCAGTAATCAAATCCAATCCAATATTTTCGCTGAACATCAGTACCTTGGGTTTTGTGAAAAACAACATACACTAGTGTAATATGCTCTACTGGGAACGAAGGGCTTCTATATCCACATTGCTGAAAAGGAAATCCTTTACATAAGTCATTAATTGATAATTTATAAATGATAAAACTGTTAAAGAAACAGTGTTTATTAGACAGTAATAACTTGATGCTGTTTCCAATTGGCCATCCTTTATTTGTGTCCCTTAGACGTCTTAAGGGTGATAAAGATGCCAGTTTGTCCCATGAGGTCTGTCGACACACAGCTCAGCTGACCTGCATCGTCTGTGTGGACATCATGCACGACGACGCAGAGCTGAACCAGGCTGCCTTGCAGGCACTGGGGTTCTGTCTACACCTCACGGACATATCCAGGTGGGTGGTAAAGATTGGCTCAGCTATAAAGTTGGGTTTTGTAGATAAGAACTTTTTGTAGGAGTCAAAACAGAAAGTGGATGTGGAAGATTATGTTAGCTGGCAAAAACACATGTTCTTTCACAAGGCAGTAAGGATCTAAAGATAAAAAATTTCAGCTGTGGCTTCTGATTAGTACCCCTTGAACAAAGGCATTGACATGGGAAGAACCACCTGCAAAGGGCTGGGTAGCTCAGATGGTAGAGCACCATGATGGTATTCAGGAGGTTCCACGTTCGAATCCTGCTCTAGTCGGGCATTCAACATTTCCTGGGATCAGCAGATTTCCTCATTTTTCACTTCACATTCATGCCAGTGAAAATTGAAAAACAAAGTACAAAGTCTTGTATAGATTGGAATTTCCTCGTTTTTTGTCGAAGTTCAAGTTATATGACTGATTTTTTGTAGAGTTTTTCAGTTAAAATCTAAGCCCCTGGTCAGTTTTTCCCTAATGGTTTTATGATAATTCCAAGTTTACCCGCTTTTTGCAGGGCTTTTACCCCAGAGGACGCAAGCACAGTTGTTAAAGGTAAGGATTTGTAATCTTATTTGGAAAATTATCCCTGAAATATTCTTTTAAAAGATAACTATCCCCCCACCCTTCCCACATTCTACTGCTTAGCTATTGGGAGGGGGCACAAGAAAAAATTGACCCCTCTCCCCCACCATGAAACTTGGATCCCCTCCAGGGCTTGCCCTCCAGTTTCAAGCTGTCCTGCCACTGCTGATATTGGTCATAAGAAACTCGGGATAATTTGTATGCCTCTTGGTAATTTTGATCTTACCTGATAATATTTGCATCACCATTTTTCAAGCCCTATGCAATGCTCTGCTGAAGACCAAGGACAAAAGCACCTGTACACGAGCCCTCTGGTGTCTATCCAAGCAGACCTTCTCCCAACAGATCATCAAAAATGAGGTCAGTTGTGGCTTTTCTCCTTTCTGACATGTGATTAGTTTTGATTTCAATTTTCCCGAGGCTTTGATGAAGGCTGTGAAATCATGGCAACACATGGAAACATTTATGTGGACAATGATATTCACTGCAGTTTACACTCGTTAGAGTAATTTTATGTATTCTGTTGCTTTGAATTTTTTTGGGGGGGGGAGGATTCTGACACAAAAATCAGAAAAAGCTACCCAGTTTGTCATGAAGTTTATGCTCAATTAATAACCATAACTATACCATGACCATAAATTTATTGGCATGCTTTATGATTGTCAAGGAAATGGCCTTACATGTCCAGTATTAAACGCTTAACAGCTACTAGAGAGAACCCATTCTGTCCTGGAATGGTTAACCGCTTCAACCTTTCCATGTATTTAAAAAAAATTGTTAATGGTACCAGGAAAAGTCAATGAATCAACAGTTGAAAATATAAAGGAGACTGAATAAGTGGGGTTGCCTTTTTGAGTTCTTTGCATAATGTTTATTTCCAAAGCTTGTATTTTCATGTGTTTCGTTTCAGCTCCATTCCATCCTGTGTGCCTTGGAGCATGCGCTGGTCCAAGGGGAATTTCACTCCATGACTGTGGACTACGAAGCTCTCAACGTCATCATCAGGTAAAGCGACCTCAAAGTCTGACCACTGGCTTTCATTTGAAATGGCTGGATTTCCTTTCGGGACAGTTTGTTTTGTAGTAATAATTTCTATTGAGTCTGAAATTCATACAAGATGTTAAATTTACCAAAATTTGATTGAGTTTAAGCAGTTGAAAAAAGTTACACCCCAGAACAGCTCATGCACAAAGCCTCAAATTGTAGCTGTCATCGTTAAACAATTAGTCTTCATTGAGTGCTGTGTGGCTGCAAATGTTGACAAACAAACAGTGTGTTCCTTTACAATACCCGTGTCAATCCCATGCAAAAATGAAGTTCCCGTACTTCCATGTAATTTACGTTGTTTTCAAATCATTGATATGCTTTTCTTATCAGACTTCTTGAGCATCTTCCGGACGACATGCCCAACCATGCAGTCCGCTGGGGCAAACTCCTCCTCCCGCTAATTGTCCGCTCTGCCCACAAGGTCCGAGAGCGTGCAGCCCTGGCCATAAACCTCGGCCTCCCGGCCATGGTCAGACATCAGTCGGACATTGCTCCTCAGCTGGCTACCGACCTGAAGTCAACCTTGGTAGCCGAAATGATGAAACTCTTTGCTAACAAGTGTGAAGTCCACGTCTTGAAGACTTGGGGGAACTTTGTTACTTTGCTGGGCAAGGTAAGGCCACTTGAAGAAAGTTTGATACGTTGCATAGCCATCAAACTTAAACTTAACTTCTTAAAATCTGTCAACATTATATAGAAACAGGCTTTTATAGGATTTAAATACTGTTTGTGTTAATAAGAAAAATTCACTGCCTGAGACAGCTAACGTAAAACCAGGTCCATGATGTATTTGATTTTTTTCCCCACCAAAGAAATTACATGTATATCAATAGTAGCCCTAGTTTTCATCATTTAGAATCTTCTTTGATTTTGGTGTAGTTAAGGTTAAAGCAAGCTGGTTAATTGCTTTAGGGTGAATCTCATTCATGGGTAAAAATTGTGTTTCAGTTCAGTCACATTCCAAAACCAAGGATAAAAGTCAGCCTGAATAGATACTGGTTTGGTAAAGATTGAGCCCTTTTTACTTCACCTGTGAAAGATTTTTCTTGTGACTACCTCCTAGGTGTTGCACAAGGGAGGAGGGCTTATCAACTGCCTCCTGGGTGTAGTAGAGCAGGGTTTCAAGCACACCTCTGCTGATGTTAAACTTGCCTCCTTTGTTGCCTGGCGAGTCCTCATTGACAACTTTGCCCTCGAACCCGGTAAGCGGACCTCTCCTCAAATTCAGAAGTTCCTTTCTGATTGATGTGACATCTCTTTTCGTCTTCATTTCCACACGGTACACATTGAATTGGAGCTTACAGGATTGGCCATAGTTTGAGTGTTGAGCTAGTTCTGCTTGTCAGAGGTTGATGTGACACAATGGCTTAACATTTATCACTTGTGTCTGGAAGAACAAGTCATTAATTGAATTTTTGAAGGATTAGAATTTTTACCTGTGTGTTTGAATGATGTATTCTCACTGAAAGTTCACGATTTAGCAATCAGTGGGTTGTTAAACTAATGAAACTTTTTGTGTAATTCTTATTGACTCTCCTGAGATATATTTCAATGGAACTTCAGTTTTGATTAAAAAAAAAAGATTTCAGTAGTATTGGATCCAATTTAATTTCGCAGATCCCACACTTCGACAAGTTCCTGTTTATTTTAAGATATGATACAAAAGTTGTCATTTCAGAGGCAGCATGTTCATAAGACTGAAATTTATCATTCAAAATAAGTGTCACCTGTTTACAGATGTCCTGTACAATGCCAAAAGACTCAAGCTGCTATTGCAGCCCCTGAGAGCTACCAGCGCCAAGCAGGAGCTGGTTGCTCAGGCAAAGGTGGACACCTGGTGGCATCTGGTGCTCAGGCTTGGCCCAAAGGCTGCCATGAACTTTGACCAGGTGCGTTGGAGCCTCGTGGTACTTCTTGATTACTCTTTCCTCTTCAGTGTGGGTTGAATTCCATCCTGAATCTAAACACAAATGAATTTAAGTAAAGGGCGGTGAAGTCAGTATTGTATCCAGAAAAAAGGTAACAAGTGAACAAACAACTCTTCAGTTTCGTAACATACCAAATATGAAACTGAGTCCATCAAATTCCAGTTGAGCAAATGCCCAAGGTGAAGTGTATCTGAGGTCATCATGAACAGCAATACATGTGCACAAGATCAGCACAAACCTGTTTTCAAATGACCTTTCTTTTTTATATAACAAACATTGTTCAAACACTCGAAGATGTTTTTGCAGCGTGCCACCAGCAGTGTAATAAAAGCCATTGGGTCCTTTTTTCACAGGTGTGTACCCCCTTGCTTCAATTTGCCCTGGGTCTAAACACCGCCATTAAGGGGATGCAGTGCCCAAGTACACCCATCACCACAAATGGTTCAGGCCTCAGACAGGGGTTCACCACGCCACTCCATAGATCAGGTTTGTACTAAATTTGAAGACAGGTGTGGAAACTATTTTTTTTTTCGATGTGTAGGAAAGGGAAAACTTTGTCTTCGATAAAGAAACAGAACAACATTGATTCAACAATCATCAGCTGCCCAATAATGAAGATTACTTCTGCTCCTGAATTCAGGGAGCTGTCCCTAGATGGCATTCATTAATACACATGTTCCATCTACTGTATGTTCCATTTTGTATTGTCACTTGCGTAACATGAAAGATGCTGAATAGACACCAGTTTGAACAGCAGAATGATGTCAAAATTTGTGTAGAATAGATTAGTCTAAGAAACCTGCAATTTGGTGTTCTAGCAGTGCAAACAAAGCGTGCCATGGGTCAGCCCTCTCAAAATAGATGTTAGCTGATAACACTTGCTAAACACATTTGAGCTGATATGATTTTGGGTGCTTTGCTTTCAATGACCTAGCTTTTTGGAATTTCTGAACAGGTTCACAGTGAATTGTTTCTTTTTTTGTGTGATGACTTTCAATTTTTTTTTCTGAACGTGTGATATAAAATGTTAACATCAAGACTGAAAATGTAAAGTCAATATTCTTGATTGTTCATCCACAGCCCACACGTTCTCTTTGGCCAGTCCAACTACGCCCCGTCTAAGTCTCCCCCCGGGCACCCCAGGTGGTGCAGCACCCCCGGTGTTCAAATCGATCCAGCTCCAGGGAGTTGAAATCCTGGCACGAGTTCTTGGCATGCCCAGTGATGCTGTAGGGACAGTCTCAGTGTACACCTTCACTGTTGGTTAGTATCAAGGGTATTTGAACCATGTCATTTCAAATTCTTTAAAAACTGTCTTACGTTTTATGGGATTTTTGTAACATTAAGTGGATGTACATTTTTCAGCCTGTAAACATTTTGTTTTAAAGTTGCTTGACTTTAGTGATGTGAAGAGTTCAGCGCCAACTACTATATTGGAGAAATTTGAAGAATTCATGACTCCAACATTACAAATGATTGTAAGAAGTAGACATACAGTTTAAATGTATCTTCTTGTAGATACGCTTAGTCATCCTGTGATCACGTCCTCTACTACCTTCATCAAATTGTCCACCACTTTGATACCCACTGTGAGAGATGTCATCTGCAACCTCGGCAATCAACTTGTTGGTAGGTGTAAAATTCCTTTTCTACCAGGCAGTTCAAAAACGGTGGGATGTATTTATCCATTTGTGCATTCCTCTTTGTGTCAGTCCACTGAAATTCACACTGTTTCTTTTTTCCTGAAATTATTTCCAAGCAGAGGGCCTTCTGTTCCAGCTGTGGTATTCCCTGGTCATCCATGTCAGCGAGATGGTCTCCACGGCAACCAAGAAAGACAGCGTGGAAGTCTTGACGCAGTTCCTGGCAACCCTACAGTGCATAGTTGGAGGAAGTGGTCTGGCACCAAAGATTCTACTGGTGAGAGGAAATCTTCTTAGATTAAGCTAAAGTGATTAAATGCTGTAGCATCAACTGTTTTGCTTGAACACTGCTGTTATTGGTGTAAATATAATGGTTGTCATGATGGAAATTAGAAAAGAGTTCCAGATACAGACAACACTTGATGCCCCTGTGCACAAACCTTTGAGACTTGTCAAAAAAATCTTAGTGTTTTCTTAGTAAATGCTTCAGAATTTGCTTCGCTAAATTTCATTTATTTTAGGACATGTTATCACTTTCTGATAACTTTTATGATATTTGAAGGGAAAATTTGTGATGTTTGTATATGTAACTCTGTCTGCAAAATATATCAAAATCAAAGCCTGTGGCTTGTATGTCATGCCAGTCACAGAGGTATGGAAAGTTGAATTTTCTCCAGAAGTCAGGAAAGTACATTTTTCTCAACCAGCAAAATTCAAATAAATCGTTTGCTTTTCTTACTGTGGCATTATTCAGGCGACTTTAGAAATTAGCTGGAGCTGGATTTTAACCTACAGCCTCAAATCCTGCTCTGGTCATTTACTTTGTCCAGCCAAATTAGTCCAAGTTGCTGTCATATTGGTCTGAGAAAAACCTGCTTAAATAAAGACATTTGTAAACACATAAAAAAGATCAATGTTTGACTTTCCTCAAAGTAAAGAGAGACATGCGTCCATGCCGTATTATTTGCTCCATCACATTATGACTCTTGTTTTTTTCAGAGGTTTCTTGAGGCTGTGAGTCGTCTTCCAAAGAACGTCTTGGGTTCCCCATCCTACCACGCTGGCAATGCGGGACTCATGCATGTAAGTCAAGAAATATTTCAAATTGTAAAGTTTCCCAAGTTACTGATAAGAATAAATGACATTTACCGCTGGTTGCTTTTCATCAGCATTATGTGTCGTGATAAGTTTTGTAAAAACCAACTTTACACTTTCAGGGAACACCGGCATTATTTCTGATTGAACTCCTGCTGAGCCAAGGCCTGCTTCAGACTACAGGGGAAGAAAGGTAAGGCTGACATTAGTTCTACGGCAATTTTTGTTTTAAGAATTGGCAGCCTCAAGACCTTGGAAAGCCTTTCACTCTGGTGACTACAAATACAAATGGAGCTATTAATTATGAAAAAAAATGTAAAATAATAAACTGCAAGAAGTTTTGGAGAATTGAGGAAGACAGGACCCGTCCGTGTTACTTTAAGCGTGATAGATGACTCTTGACAATCACAGTGACGTGAATATGCCAGTGGTTCCTGGACAGCGGAGGTTTTGGAAGGTCCAAAGATGCTTTTAGAAAAAAAGCTTGAGTCAAAGTGAATGAGATATTTGTTTTTCAAAATAGCTGGCTTAACCTTTACCTGTTCTTGTATCCCAGGTTTTTCTGTGTCCTTGAGACCCTGATTGACTGCGGGCTCACTGTTCCGGGGACAGTGCTCGGCTTTTGTGGGTCCGTCCTGCAGCTCGTCGACAAGGCAGCAGCTGATCTGAATAACGAGAGCGTCACTTGGAGAATCTGGAGCAGCATTGTCTACCCGTTGCTGGGTCACATCATTGAGGTAGGAAAATTGAGGCACTTTATGGTTGGTTATCAGGTATCCACGTGATAATGATGCTGTCTTATGTTATCAATTAGTTGAGTCCCAACTTTCTGTGGCTTCATTGGAAGTAAGTCTGCCTGAATTTGTTACATCGTGCAATTTCAGTTAAGTTACCTAATCTGTATTCATGATCCAGAGCCGAGCTGCCTCTCTCTCTGGTCCATTCATGTTCATGTTGCCTTTCCCTTGCTCCTGAAATTTCAGTAGCAACTGGATATGTTTCAGATAAAGACAAAGACATGGTTTTTATTTTTTGGATGGATGGTCGATATTGGAAGCTGAAACATCTCCTTAGCCTAAGCTGAGGGAACTAGTTTGTCAACGCGGGGAGTCAAAAATCGACTGTACGCTTTCAAGCTGTGTTATTTTTTTATATTTACAGCATCAAAACTTGATTTTTCCATTCATGACAAACAATACTAGCGTTTCACAATAGTGCTCCCCCAAGAGTTTGCAACGCATTGGCCAACCACTGCGCGAAATCTGTCGACCCAACGCGCGTTTGGAAAGGGACGACAGATTTCGCACTCTGTGATTGCCTGATTGGTCAATGCATTGCAAACTCTTGGAGGCACACTACTGTTAATCGCCCGTATTACCCAACTCATATAGATTGTATTTGTAATTCTATTTTATGTCAGTACGTGTTTTGAAAAGACGCGAAGGGTACTTGAGTGCAGTGGCAGTGCCCATTTTGTTATTTCATGACAATTTTGCTCTACGTGATGAATTTCAACTGTTTCTACTTGGATTCTGAAAGTTTTCCTCTTGAATGGAGATCAGCACTCATCATTTTTTACAGCCCGAGATTTCTGTTTTACATTTGGATTATCAACTGCATGTAAAGTACAATGATGGTTTTGTTTTCAGACCAATGAAGTGAACCAGGGCGATTCTCTAGATCACGACTTCAGCACAATGTATTCCAGCCTGATGCTTCCTGTGCAACACCTTTTTCAATCAAGCTCTCTGCCACAGGTAAAAAAAAAAAGAGGAACACTTGAACTCTGTCAAAGTACACTTCCCAGTTTGGACATTTTGTGCTTGAAAGATCAAGTCAAATGTCTTTCAGAGAGGAACCTCCTCTTAAAGCCAGATCCCCGTGGAAACATTACAGTGCAAAGGTCAAATCAAGTCCCTAAAGACATTTGGGAAAAGACTTCATCAGACTATCGAAAGTAGAACACGCTTCTGGAAGGTAATCTCACCTCAGTTGTGCCACCTACTCAATCAACATTCAATTGATAATTGGGTGTTTAGTTTGGCAGAGTATCCTTTTTTTGGCAAAAAGTTATTCACTCTTTCCACAGAGAAACAAGTTCTCTTTTAAGATGTTCTCAATTGAGTTCTAGTCTTGTTTCCTTCTCAGATGACTGTGAAGACTCTGCTGAAAACATGGGCAGAGTTGTACCAGGCCTTTGCACGATGTGCTGCCGTGGTAACCACCGCTGACTCTAACCTGGGTTGTGAGGAGCTCTGCACCAAGGTTCTGGCCTGCTTGGACAGTCAGTCACTGGTACAATGACAACTTTAATTTTGTTCAAATCTTCAGTCACAGAATTTTGTCTGAATCAGTTGCAAATCAGTTGAAATTAGTTAAAGCGGAGTTAATGGAACATGCTTGATTCTTGCATGGAATATCTACCTATCTGTTGTAAACCCTGTGTGTTTTGCAGCGTAACTCTTTAAACCAGTATGAAGTCTGGGTTTTAAAAAAAAGTTTAGCTATTTATAAATCATATAAACCATTTAAGGAAACTTTTCGACCATTTCAATTTTTGAAGTTCAGTAATGAATTAGCCATTGGTACACTGAAAAACTCATGTTTAAATTTAACGACTCCAGAAGTCATCTTTTGTGGATTCCCTGACTCAAATCCTGCAAGTCATCTCCGGCAGTCTGGATTTTTCATCATTTGCTTCCAACACAACCCTGAACAATCTCCCCACCCCGGGAGGAAGTGGGCGTGGGCGGGCTCGTCCCCTGGGTAACCTGACAGCATTTGTCCGACTGGTTGTCAGGGTGATTAAAGAAATGCGGAATCTGGTGAACGCAGAAAGACCAAAGTTTGCTGGGTTTGTACTTCAGGTTAGTCATATTCAAAGAATGAACCTTTTGCGGGTTAAATCTGAATAAACTCTGGTACACTGAGTTCTTTAAATTCATGTGAACATAACAATTTGAATTCTCCATACTGACACCACTGTTGCTAAACCTCGTGATTCGGGGCAAGCTTTTATTTAGTTACATAATTGATGCCTCGCAACAATACACTGTTCTCAATGGATAAGAGAGGCACAAAGGAACCAGTCCATTCCAGAGATGGTGGTCGCTATGCAAAAGCTTGCCCCGAATCACGAGGTATAGCAACAGTGTCTTTAGTCTGGGGAACTCAAATCGTTATGTTTATGTGCAATCAAATAACTCAGTGTACCAGATTTTTATTCAAATTTAACTCACAAATGGTTTATTGCTAAGCATAATCAGTTTATGAGCAGTAAAGGAGCATCTTAAAAATCTGGAAAGCTCACATTCCATTGGATCATATCCACCGGAACACTAGTGTTCAATCAAAACATTCCCGCATGGCAGGATTAGTCCACTCTGTGCAAGGACCATTCCAAGGCAGCGTTTCGATGATAATTTTGTCATTTCTGTATTTCTAGTGGAACAGCTGCCCATTCTAGACTAAGAACAAGACGTTCCAAACAAAATATTCAGACTTTTCCAAATGATGAGACACACTCTAAATCGTCTGAACTGTTTTGTTCAATTTGTCTCTACCAACCAATATTTTATACAATGGGTAGAGGCTATCAACGTGTGCTTTTTTTTTAACCCCAACAGTCATGCATATTGTTTGGCTAACACTACTCAGTGCTACAAAATACTTAAGTAGTAGTCTGAGCCTGAAGGACCTAGCGCTACAGATTACTACTTCTGTTTAGGGCACCTTCCATTGTTACTTGTGCAGAGAACAGTAAAGTCATGCATTGATAGTGCCTGAGCACTGTATGGTACATTGTCTTTTCTATTGTATTTTATGGCTTCAGAGAACAATAAGGTCATCTCATCTTACAAGCGACAGCACTGAATGCTAAATTTTACTACTAAGTAGTACTTTGTAGTATTCAGGTCTGTTAGGGTTAATGAGTGATTTACAATTTCTGGTTCAGCACCTGTGAATTTAGACCATATTTTGCAGTTTCAACAGGTCAAAATAAAAAATCACTGGTGAAACGGTACACTTTCTCACGAGCTGTGTTAGTAGGTATTTATAACGTGTCAAAATTCACTTGTGCTTTCAATTCTACGAAGGCTAAATGTTTCCTACCTAAGTCTATGTCTCATTGCAATCAATTGAATAAGTTTATGGAATAAAATCATTTCTTGCATACTTGTAGACCCTACGTGGCTGCTTCTAATGTGCCATTTAGGGGGGATAATGTATGCTACATGAACATGCATACTACATAATAGCGGACCAGTGCGAAATCACTGGTAACTATTTGCAGTAGTTCCTGTAATAGTGTGCAACAGAGTCTGTACTTCCATTGTAAAGGGAGCTGGTACACTGCTGTGCTTAGATATGGCAGGTGATTGTCTCAATTCTCTCTTAAGTAGTAGAAAGTTGGAAGATTTGTCTCTGTCTGCCCTTCTGGTCACTTATTTTCTGGTCAGTTATGTCTTCACCTTTGGACAGTACGCTCCGATAAATAACAAAAAATATTTACATCGGATGGAGTTACTGACGTGCCGCATTGTTTGTCAGAATTCAGGGATGATTTTTTGTGGTAGAGTATGCCAGCCCTAAGCCTGCATGTCACACCGATTATTAACCCTAATCCCCCCCAGGGTTGCTGGCCGTAACCTTCCCCATTCACACAAAGTT